GAGTGCTGGGATTAAAGGCGTGCGCCACCACCGCCCGGCTTATTGTATTTTATTGTACAGGTAAGGAGACCTTGTTCTGACTGTGTCTTGTTTATTGTCGGAATCTTAGTGTCAAATACAGTGCGGGGCATATAGAAGGTGCCCAGTAGATGATTTGGCTGGCTAAGTAAAACTTTTTGTCTTTTACTTTAAGATCGAGAAAAAAAGGAAAATGAATTCAGGAACTGAGACAGTTAAAGACTTTATCTATCCCTGGCAGGCCATGTTAATATTTATTGAGCAAATGCCATGGTTTGAGATACTTTAGACACACAGACTCATTAAACGGTCACATGACCTATGGAACCTCACATAAATTATGGCAGCATTCACATGGGGGCAGCCTAGCCCCGGGACATGAGCCATTACTAAACCAGATGCCTTAGCTGCTGCCATCGGCCCAAGCGCCCTATCGCTCACTTTAGTCCTGGGACTGATAGATAGGGACAAGCTTTATGTCACCGTCTGTCTTTCTTCTAACAGCGATGTGTGTGAGTATACCTCAGCCCACGGCCATGTTCTCAATGACCTCTTTCTGCTAGTAGAATCACTCCTGCAGAGACAAGCACGAGTTCTGTCCTCCACCCTGGCTCCAGGAGCTTTGTTTGGTACTGTGTAGCATCTGTGCAGTCCACATTCTCGGCTAGAGCAAATATGGTTCCACGTGTGCCCTAGTGCCTAAGGCTATTTCACCATGAAAATGCCCGGATGATCCAGTTTCAGGGCCTTGTTTTGTTAATACTAGAAAGGAATAGTAGCTGGCACTAAGTACCACTTACACATTGAGCTGTCCATGCGGAGAACCCAAGGGCCATTGGGAGTATACATTGGGAGTATGTACTCCCTCTCCCTGAGATGAGCGCTTGTATTAACTCACCTGGAGTTCGCTCTGGAGCAGTGAATTACTGCCGAATAGTAGCGGTGCCCCTCCCCCACGGACTTCAGTAATACTCTTCGTTAGAATGCAATTAAAAGTTTTCATTCACAGATATTTGGAAAATTGAAAAGTCAGCTGATTCCTCGGAGTTCTTGGCTACCCATACTGCCCAGGGGAAAGTTGAATAATCGAATCCTAATGGTTGAAAAATTAGCCTGCTGGGCGGCAGAAAGGGTGCGAGGCAAAGAAGCAATCACTGTGTGTAGGGCGACCCCTGCTGTCCAAAGGGCAGAACAGATAAGAGAACCAAGTCTGTGATCACCTTATGGAGCAGGGGAACTACTAATTTCAATCTCTTGCCTTTGTAAAACTTAGCAAGCACATCATAAATCCACTATGCCCGGGTCTCTAAAAACTTTTAAATTATTTACGTGTGTGTCTTGCCATGGCTTGTGAAGGTCAGAGGACAATTTGTGGGGTCGCTTCTCTTCTACTACGTGGTCCAGTGGATCAACTCAAGTCGTCAAAGCTTGGCAGCAAGGGCCTCTATGCAATGAACCATCTTGTCTCAGCGTGTGTGTGTGTGTGTGTGTGTGTGTGAGATGAAGATTGAGTATCTTTCTTAACCATTTTCTACCTTGTGTATCTATTTTTGTAAGACGTTTATAAAGACAAAAACCACAAGACAGTCACAAGATTACAGTCTCAAAATACAGATTGCTTATCCTACATCCCAATTGGCTAAAGCTTAGGTAAAGCTCAGCTGTTAGTTCCTGATAGGCTATTATTGTCTAAGGGGGATAGCAACAGCCCCCTGGTCATGTCCTCCGGACATCTGCTGACCCTTTGCTAACCGCAGGAGCTGTTTGGAATCCTATCTGATTGGTCCATCATTACTCAACGGATAGGCGAAGTTAGGTGGTCAGCAGTTTTGTGTAGCTTGGGTTTTCCCATTAGCTAATACTTTCCCTAAAAGGGAGCTAGCGACCCCCGGCTTTCCTCAGGAGTGAGGGTGAAGTTCAGAGGCCCACAAGGTCCCAGCACATAAATGGAACCTTTTCCAGCCTCACAAGAGCACTGGCTGCTCTTCCAGAGGTTTTGAGAAATAGGGGTTAATTTAAGTTGTAAGAGCTAGTTAGTAATAAGCCTAAACTATCAGTGATCATTTATAATTAGCAGTGAGTCTTGTGCTAATTGAGTCAATTGGGGAAGGCTGTGGTCCCAGCGGAAACTCCATCTATTAGCACTAGTTCCATAGAATTGCTATAAGACTAGTTAAAAGGAACTCTATTTTGGAGGTCAGGAAAAATATTTGAATTCGATCCCAGAAACTTAGGCTTCTGATAGTCGTTCAAAGTTCCTCGTTCTTAATAGATACAGCAGAAGGGGGGCTCCATTGCTTATTTTTTGACAAATAAGGCTGTTGTGACTTTTTACTTTCCCTTTTTGGGGGCTGTTCCTGAAATAATGGGATGAGCACATAACAGCCAGACAGTCAGTCTTCACTTGACCCTCCCTGCTGGGTTCTTTGTGGTTCTCACAAGCATTCCTTGTTTCTGTTATGATCCTCTCAATCTCCTTTGGAGGAAGAGTCACCTAGGGTTTGAACTAATGGGTTGCTAGCACAGCCCAAGTGTTAGTACCCTGATAAGAATTACACTGGGCAACAGCAACAACCGGGAATAAGGAGGAGAACTACAAAGTGTATGGAGTTCTTCAACCAGCTTTCTATTCAGCCGAACCAAATCCCATGAAAGAAAAATCCAACAGTGGATTTTATTCTCCTGCAAGAACCAAATGACTTGCTCTTTAAGTTACTGTTCAGAGGCAGATATCCAAATACAACTGAAAGTGACAACCTGCATATAAAAATGCCAGTTTTCAGCCCATAAATTCTTTAAGATAATTCCGTGGTCCAGCAACTTGGAGCATGGAACTGAAAAGCCTTTCTGTTCCATTTGCTTACCGACACCAACTACATGTGCAATGACTGCCGCATTTCACAGTGTTTCAGATGTATCCTGTGGGGGTCGCTGGTACAGCTGAGTGGTTAAGCATGAACTTAGCATGTGGAGGGAATCCTTAGGTTCAGTTCTATCATGACAAAGGAAGCAAAACCTGAATCTTATTAAATTCATTCATTCAATATTAAGGAAGAAACCCTGGCATAGAACCATGGGAATCAACGAGAAAGCATTAAGTTATTTAAAGGCTCACCGAAAAATATGTACACTAAGCCAAATAATGACAAAAATCGATTCCTCAGGGACAAACTCCATCCTCTCTTCAAGGATGACATTGTGTGGTGATCACAGCTGACATGGATACATCCAGTAAGGAAAAGTAAAGCCAAGTAAAGTCCATGCATGCTGAAAGTGTCTCGGATATCAGTATGACAAAGCACAATCTAATTAAAAGCAATTCAACCAGCACAAGGACATGGATTAGTTGGGTATAAAGATTATAAATATGTCTATAATTTAACACAATTATGTTAGAAAGCTTTACAGAAAAGATAAAGTACTGATAACTGAAACATTCGTGATGTATTCCCGAAAAAAAAAAAAAACAGTAATACCAAGCACACACCATTAACATTTTTAAACACGGAACCCGCTTCTGCTGCCATGCCATATGTTCCCACCGTGGTGACTCCATCCCTCTGGAACCCGAAGCCAAATCAGCTTCTTCTTCTTTAAGTTGCTATTGGCCGTGGTATTTTATCATGGCAACAGAGAAGTAACAGATCTACTAGGCAAGAACCACTACTGTTTCAGCTACATCTCTAGCCCCCCGAAACAACAACAACAACAACAACAACAGGGCTTCTCTGTGTAGCCTTGGCTGTCCCAGAACTCACTCTATAGACCAGGCTGAAGTGAACTCAGAGATCCACCTGTCTCTGCCTCCTGAGTGCTGGGATTAAAGGTGCACACCACCACTGCCTGAACTTAATTCTTTAGATGAATCTTATCACATTGTGACTTTTTTTTATAGGATATTCTACTGAAAGTACCTCATTGGTTATTTGGAGGGAGTAGGGAAAGGATAATAAATCCAGTTCATTTAAAGTTACGTATCCATCTGTGACCTTACTGACTCTCACAAACTAGTTCTGTAAGGATTAGTAATATAAGGATTAGTATATAAGGATTAGTAATGTAAGGATTAGTATATAAGGATTGGTCTGAGCATCAGGATCATGAGAAAAATAAACAAAAATGTGATTTAAAGTAGTGTCTGATAAAACAACTTGCTTCCATTTTAGGCTTAAAAGTTATCCTATAGTAAAGTAAAACGAGATTCATCATGTTTATGATTAAATCTGTTTCTCATGGATTGGGTTCGCCTGTTCCAGGAATGGCAACCGCGCCTGTTTCCAAAAGTCATTATGACCACCTGTTGTTATGACCACCTCGTTACGATTACCTTGCAAATATGTCTTTGTTTCAGCAAGTTGCTATAACCAATATGTTATGCTTAATTTCTGCTCCTGTAACCCCAACGGTTTGTCTGCCAACTCCCCCATTTGGAAACCCCCACTTCTGAGCTATAAAAATCTTTACTCCATGTCCAATGCTGATCTCTTGAACCCACTTTTAAGGAGAGTTTTTGCCTAAAATATACATGGTCCTAGCTCCAAACTCTCACAGGTTCCCAACCTCGCAGCAGGTACTGAGAGACCCCGAAAGACCCAAAGAGTGCAGTTCTTCCACTGGGTAACCAAGAAGCATCTCTGGGACGCTATTTCAGCTCGCGGGTGGATTTGTGTGTGTATGGGACGGGTGTGTGGGGCGGGGCGTCAGATGGCACCGGGTGCGGAAGTCGCTGCAGGGGGCACTGGGGAGTGTAGTTTCTCAGGCAGAGGCGCTGAGAGGAGCGTGACTACGTTTTAGGAACGTTATCTTAGGAAGGAGGATAACGCCTCCAGGTACCGAAGCAACCACACTCCAGCTAAGCGGGACGCACTCGGCCAGAAATGGACCGATCAAAGGACCACGGGAGCTGCGGGCAGTCCAAGTTAATGGGTGGCGCGGGGGCATCCTGGGAGGCGTGGTTCTTGCGCCTGGAGGACTCTGGGTGATGTAGTCCCGACGCCTGCTGGGGGGGTCGCTCCCCCAGCTGGTGGCTGGAGCAGCCCCTTATTCTTTGGTGGCGTCGGTGAGTTTCTCTCTCGGGGGCCCCTATTCGGGACCGAGGGGAAGATCATGCAGGGCTGGTCTTGGGGTCTAGCTGGGCACTCGGCAGTGGTGCTGGAATCTGGGAGCTGAGGGGACGCGCCCGCGCGGGTGTGTTATCTTGGGGGTGTGAGCATGCATTTCTGAGGAAGTTGTATGAACCTCAGCTGTCCTAGTGTTCTATGGGTGCGCAAGGCTTGGTTCTTCTTTGGTAGGGTTCTTGTGGGTGGGGACAGGTTCAGCGTTGGTTGAAATGGCAGTATTGTTATAGGAGATCGCTCAAGCTTTAGGTGCCTAAGTAGGTGAGGCCTGAGTAAGGAGACTTTTAGGGGTGTGATATTTATTTACTAGGTGTTGGGATGAGACTGTCTAGGTCTGTGAGCCTAGACAGAATTTCTTTGGTGTTTTGGGGAGTTAGAGGTCTTTTGGTCTTACCACTTCTCAACTTTGCTGATATGTGATGAGGGCCCCGTACCCTAGCCCAATAAGCCCAGATTTCACTGTGTGTCAGGTGGCTATGTTGGCCCGGTCTTAGGGTCTCAGCTTAGTGCTCCCCACTCCCAGTTAGGGCTTTAAAAAGGAGGCGGGCAAACTGGGACCTATTCCTCAACTTTTTCAAAGCACCCAAAGACTTAGTGACTACAAGAACCTTAGGGTTTTTAAATTCCATTTTAATGTTTTGTTATAGAGAAATCCCAAACAGCCAGAAAAATATAAAAAATATAAAACTTCAAAGACCTGTCACCCAGATGCTGGCCACCCTGTCACTAATCATGATTCATCTCAAAGTTAACACACGAAGGACCCTTAGCACCCGAGAGACTCTGGGCCTCACAGCCATGTTTTCAAGGCTGTCACTTCCTAGTCGGTCACCTTGGCAAGGGCCTGATCTCATTGTGTCCCCAGTCTCACGTGTAAAAGGAGAGTAGCATCTACTTGGAGTTGTTGCTAGAATGAAGACTGCCTGGAGCAGTCTCTGGAGTGTTCTAAGCGTCCAGTAAGTATTGACTTTCATGACTACCAGCCAGACAGGATTATCTTACGCCTGCCATCAGCAGCACGCCAGGGAAGGCTGAGTTCCTCGACCGCATCCCAGCTTGTTCTCTAGGAAGTACCCACAATTCTTCTCGTCTTGTCTTCTGTGGCAGGTCCGTTCCTAATGCCTTTAAGGAAGAAGCAGTGCACAGCCCTGCTTCTTGAAGCCCTGGAGCTTGAAGATTTCCAAGGACTTTCCTGAACCTTTGTTGTTGTTTGTTTGTTTGTTTGTTGTTGCTGTGCGTCCTGGGACCCCTGGCTGCCTACAGTGCCTCCTGCTGGGAAGAATACTTTTGGGTTCCTGACTGCCCAGCTTCAGGTGAGTGTCGTTCACTTTTGCATCCTGAACCAGGAGTAGGTTTGACTTTGCTCTCATCTTGTATCTTGTGGTGTCCCACTGGGGACCAGAACCCCAGCTGGCTCTCCCAGGAAGATCCCCTTGCTCTAAGGGTGACAGTTTGTGCAGGGAATCAGTATTCAGGCCAGGTGTGCTCACTTACTGCTCCTCCCGCCATTTCCCCTGCGTTCCATTCCACATCAGCGTTTGTTCGCCTTGCTCGGTCCTAGGGCTCGTCAGGAGCTGGCCTGTGTCTGTCCTCATTTGCTGTTTGTCCTGCTGGAATAGTTTTCAGTTATTTTCCTGGCACCTACTTCAGTAGACATCCCTAACACCTAGTGACAGCTGCACACACACGATTTTATTTTAAAAGATGCATAACTTTAATGCATACAATTTCATTGTCACACCCAATGCCATTAAACTTAATCATTTAATATTCAGTCCGTGTGGAGTTTGCGAAGTATGTTTTTTGTTGTCTTCTCTTTTTTTCTCCAGATTTAACATCTGTGATCGAAGGTAAAAGAGATGTGGAATTCACCCAACTGGCTTTCTCTTCCTGTGCCCCTCCTCCTGTTTCCCTGGGCCTTGCTGGGCCATGTTTAACAGCTGTAACTTACCTGGTGATACAAGCTGGCTCTCTGAGTTTGCCTTGCTCCTTTGTTCTTTCCAGATTCACTGTGTTTGATTGGCTGTGGAATCCTCTCCTGAGTTCCACGCGTGCTCACTTAGCTCCACGAACTGTCACTGACACTGGCTGCTTCCACTATGGTCTGGGTCCGTGGATGATCAGTACCATCTCCTGACCTCTTCACTTACTCTCTTACCCTGCCCCCAGGCACGTTTGTACAGAAACCATGAGGATCTTTTCAGCTGTAATGATGTCAGCCGGTGACTTTTCATCTTAATCAAAGTTGAAACCAGTGTCCTCCAACACTAGGTCTCATTGCCCTCTACTGATGCTTGGACTTCCTCTTCACTCCTCTGTCCTGACTTGCCACATCCATCGTTCCTCTGTCTTGCCAGCCTATGCCCGGGCTATTCTCTTGTCTGAGCTATTTACTCCCGCACAGCCTTCAGACCTGACAGAGGTCTCTAACCGCTCTTTAAAATTCCAGAGCCCCAGTCACTTCTGTTACTGTTCTTCTGTGCTCGTGCGTGTTTGTGAAAGGGTGTGTCTTATTCATTCACCTCTTCCCCTAGGCTGTAGTCACTTATGTAGAACGATATAAGATAATACTCTCCACACCTTTGGTGCTTTGGTGGGTTCACTAGAAGACTGGAGTCAGCAAGGACCCCTGGTCTCACCCTCTTCATGTAGCATGCAGTACCTGGCTCCCTGCCTCTGTGTGTTCTCTCCAGCAGGGTAGCTGGAACGTCATACATGGTATCTTAGGGGTGCCAAGAGTGAAAGTTGTCTCGTGTTCTTCAGTGTAAGCTGGTGATACAGTGTTACCTGAATCACGGTTATTAGTTAAAGCAGAGGCAACCCAAAACCAGTGTTTAAGGCTGGGGTAAGGCAATCTGAACAGCAGAAAACATAGTGATAGTAATAGATTATATAACCCCAGAGGTAACAACCCAACTGTATATAAATAAATAACTGAGTTCAATAAGCAGGGAGATGGGACAACTGCTCTTACAGAGCTGTAATGACTGAACTCAGGGTGGAAAAGGGAAAGAGAACATTGCCCCTCTGTACATGCCGCAGTAATAACTGGTGTGGTGGGCTTCACACACGTATGGTTGAGTCCGTGAGTGGAGGTTTGAAGAGACACGGGTTACTGGTAAAAATCTCCAGGTATTCCCTCAGCACTGGGAGTGAAACTGCGATCTGTCCACACCAGTGAGCCAATCCCCGCTCGAGTTTCTGCTCTCGGTGCTCTGTGTGTATGTTCAGAGTAGCGTGGTGGAGCACACTGTCCTTTTGTGAGGAGCCACTGGATGGATTTGTGGCTCTGCCATTTTACATCCCTGCCTGTAACGTGTAGTGGTCGAGTTGTGATTTTGAAAGTTTATTGAAGACTAGTTTCTTTTGCTTACCATCGCTCTGTGTTCTTCTACGACTCCTAGACTCTCTAGTGGATTCTCAGAGTGGAGAGTCGGCCCTTCTCCCTGTCTCATAGTACTTTCATATTTGATTCAGGTCTGTCATCTGTTTTGTTTTGCTTTGCTTTGGAGACAGGGTCTCTCCACATAGCCCTGGCTGTCCTAGAACTCACTATGTAGACCAGGCTACCCTCAAAATCAGAGATTCACCTGCCTATGCTTCCCAAGGGCTGGGATTAAAGGTGTGCACCACCACACCCAGTCCCAGTCAGGTATTTTAGAAGTGTTTTCTTCTATCATGCTTTTAGATACTTGTTCTGCGCATTGTTTTTGTTGGTTTGTTCTCAGAAAGAGTAATTACATGAACGTTATACTTTTATCTCTTTTCTTTCTCACCTTTCTCTTTGGTCCTTTTGCATCTTTATTTTTTTACCTTCAGGGTTTTTCCTGGCCATTCTTCAATGTCTGTCATTTTTATTCAGCCTATTCTTGGATATTTTTTTTTTCTTCACGTCAGACGGGTAATGTGCCCACGTGGTAACAAGGTTTAATGGGCGGCACATATCGCGCACTAGCGTGAAACCCCAATCATCACGCTTATGAACCATGAAAGGATCTATTCTTGGATATCTTATAATTTATTCTTCGCTCTTCATAAGCAATCCTGCAGATAGGCCTTTTCTGTGTTTTCTCCCAGACAGATCTTCTTGGGGTCTAGATTCTGCCCATTTCTCGGTTTCTTAGTTTTTGAATTTTTGATTCTAGATGTTTTCATGTATGTCTCAAGATACTTAATTCAAGCTAGAGTTAGGATTTTATTTTGGTTCTTTTCTTTCTCAATATGAATCTTTTAATGAGGTCATTTTTAGCTGAATTGTTTGAATTCTCATTTTCTGTTTTACATTTTAATTTAAAAAAATGGTGTTTGAGATTAGTTTTTATTTCATGTATGATGTTTTGCCTGTATGTATGTCTGTGTACCACATTCACACAGTGCCTGTGGAGACCAAAGAAGGCATCGGATCCCCAGGGGTTGCGTGCTGCCGTGTGGGTACTGGGAATCAAGCCAGTCCTTTGGAAGCTCAAACAGTTCTATTAACTGCAGAGCCATCTCCCACTCCAGCTTGAGAAAATGCTTTTGTAAGCTTAAATATGGTTTTCATAATGGTTGCTGAGGATAGAGAGGTCAGTGTCCTTTGGTGTCTGTTTTCATTCGTTTTGTTTTGCAGGTACCTGGCTTCGGGGCAAGCAGGGCTGTTCTGTGTTACAGGTACACATGGCATTCAGAGATGTGGCTGTGGATTTCTCTCAGGAGGAGTGGCGCCTGCTGAGCCCTGCTCAGAGGTCCCTGTACAGAGAGGTGATGTTGGAGAACTACAGCAACCTGGTGTCTCTGGGTAAGCGGTGTTGTCTCAGGATGCACGCTCTCAGTTAGTGCATGTACACCTGGAATTTTAGGCTGTGCTGGAGAGGCCATCTTGCTTTTTGTATTGACTTTTGGGTTTGTTTGCTCTCCCTGCTCATTCCCTGTTTTCCTAGGGAAGTCTGATTTTGTAGAGTTGAATGTCAGTAGGAGTGTGTGCACGCGTGCACACACACATGTGTGTGTGTGTGTGTGTGAACGTGCGTGTGCACACGTGTGCGGCATGATAGTTGTAATCTGTGTCTCTAGGCTTTTCCCTCCAACCTGGGGCTCTTTCTTTCCCTAAGTTAACTTTTTTAAAATGAGACAGGTGTGTTAGACTTTGTACTTTTGGGGCAAATACCCAAGAAAACACCTTAAAGGGAGGAATTACCTTTTGTTTTTGTTTCTGAGGCAGGGTCCTCTACATACCATTGGCTGTCATAGAATGCACTGCGTGGACTAGGCTGGCCTCAAACTTGTAGAGATCCATCCTCCTGTGCCTTCCAAGCGTTGGGATTAAAGGAGTGCACCACCATGCTCAGAAGGACTTACTTATGACGGTTCACAGTTTCAGTCTGACCTGGGACTGGGCCTTGACAGATCCCAACAGTATACTGCATGCCAGCCAGGAGCAGAGAGAGGGAGGAAGGGCGAACCTGTGTGTGTGGACTTACTTTTCATCTCTAGTCCATTCAGGCCTAGCCTACGGGGTGATGCCACCCCCTGTCAAGGCAAGGTCTTTCTTCCCAGTGAGTCCTCTCTGGAACCCCTCACAGACAGTCTCAAAGGTGCACTGCACTGATCTCCTAGGTGTTTCTCTACCCAGTCAGGATTACTCTAATAGAGTTCTGTCCACCCAGCATGGAGCAGACTCAGTGTACCCTCATCTGGGTTCACTGTCCCGCTGATCTCAAGTAACGGTTAACCCACGGCACTGCCCCTGAAGCTCCTCCTCCAGTCTTTGCTTTGGAGTCTATTCCAAAGGTAAGTCAGAATTCCTTCCATACCCTAACCTATAGTCATCCTGTTTTCGTTTCTGGTGAACAGGAATTCCAGTTTCAAAACCGAAACTTATCACCCAGCTGGAGCAAGGGAAAGAAACATGGCAAGAAGAGAGGAAATGCCCACAGGCAGCTGCAGGTCAGGGTGAGTGGGGAAAGCCTGGGCATACGGGACGCAGGGCTGGTAGCGGCCCAGGATGCTGAGGAGAAGAGACAGTGATGAGGAACTGGGTTCTCTTTGACTCAGGGCCACCCTGTCTTCCGGCAGGAACTTTCCTGGTGTCTCTTGTCTCTTTTTCCTTGAAGCCTCTGGCCTCCTGCCTCTGCTTTCTGAGAGCCGGGATTAAAGTCATGTGGCACCATGCCTGACTGAGTTTTTGAAATTTAAACTTATATCAGTATTGATTAAATCTGTATGAACTTTAAATATAGGAGCACCTGTAGATGTAAGATACTTTTCAAACTAATTCATTGAACTGATTATATTTTGTGTTCAATTTTCCCTCAGACTAAATAGCCCAGAGTGTTCACATAATGGCAGATTCACAGTCAATGGAAAGAATCAGCCAGTGGAAAACTGAAATTTTGTTTTCCTGTCACTCCATACAGATGTTACAACAATGTTGAAATTTCTTTGAAAGGGCCAATTTAATTCTGAACTGTGTTGACTGCAAATAAAAGCCAGCTACTTTGTGTGCCCACAGAAGTGAGGAGACTCAAGTTGCTGGCCATAAATAGGACCCCGACTCAGCTGATTTGATTTGTGAAATGCCTTCTTGGTGACACAAAAGGAAGTTGCTAACAGCAGCCAGGCTTCAGATACACCCAAGGAACAGGCCTGGGGCACTGCTGGCTACCTAGTCAGGGTGCTCCATTGTCCTGGGGCTGGGGAGGGATGGGCATCAGGTTGGATCAGTGGCTCCCAGACTGTCATTCACAGCTGTTGTGACAACCACAACAGGTGGGAAAGAATTGCACCTAGGTGCTGGAGAGATGATGCAGCAGGTAACGGTTGTCCTTGCCAAGGACTCAGGTTCAATACTCTCATGACGGTTCACAATCACTGAGCTCCACAAGCACCAGGCACACATGTGGTACCCAAACATATACATGCAGACAAAGTATTCATACGCATAAAAAATTTACTAAAAGAAGAACTGCACTTAGTTACTTATAAGACATTGGAAGATAAAAGGGAGGTGTTTCTTTGGTAGTTGGCCATACAGAGTGAAGGGCTTTATGTTAGGAAAGGGTGCTTATGCTTACTTTAATAATGAAGACAATTATTCTAACTATGCTAATTTAGTTATAACTGAAAACTGCATTCAGTATAGGGTAGAATAATGTAATTCTGATAACTGATTGTCCATTGGCTAAGAAAAAGAGTGTTTAGGAAGATTCGGTAAGATCTGTACTAACTGCTCAAACCGTTTGGTCACTGACTGCCTTCAGCTGACCAGAACCAGCACTGCTGAAACAGTAAGAGGTACAGCCAGAGAACTGATTCCTGGGCTTGGGCTTGGTTTCTTCTTAACTTTCAGTTGTCACTGATGTCTGTTGCCTGGGTCTTCTCAGGACCTATCCCTTCCCTGTCATAAGCTGCGTCTCTGCTGTGAGACGTGCAATGGTTGTCTTCTGGTTCTGTTGTTGTCACCTAGTCCTGTAGTTTCATGTTTAACAACAACAATGTGTATATCAGGCTGGCCTCAAATCCATGATCCTCCTGCCTCAGCCTTCCAGTTTCCCCTCGTGTTTCCTGCCTGCCTGCTTGCCGGTCTGTCTGTCTCCCTGTGGTTCTAAGGACCAAGGCCCATGAGAGCGGCAAGTACTCTACCACTCAGCTGTATTTCTAGCCTCCAGGTTTGTTGTTTGTACTGATCTTGGGGACATTTTTATTTACACTAATTCTGGAAATTAACAGGACTTAGAGGTTAGTTAGGGGCATCTTTGACAACACCGTGGATCTTGCTATAATCACGCTGTTCCCTGCTAAGGGCTTACGGCCCTGTAGAATTCTAGCAGAGTGGTCCACTGATACCGTGTTTGTCAAGTGTGGGGACGCCAGTGCAAGTGTGTCATGCACTTTCAATTTAACCATTGCTTCTCTTTTTTTAAAAATATTTGTTGGAGCAGGGCATTCACGTGCTCTGGTGCACATATGGAGGTCAGAAGACAACTTGTGGTACTAAGTTCCCTCCTACCGTGTGTGCTCCAGCTTTGGTGACAAACACCTTGTCTTGCTACACCCTCTGGGCCACCCACTCTCCTAGGCTGTCTTGCACTAGAGTTGGAATTATGCTTTCTCAGGCTGCTTGCTTCATCCTCCAGAACAGCAGGAGACATTTCCACACGGGTCTTGTTCACAGCTCTCTATCAAAAGCACAGTTACACAGCACACAGGGGACACAGTATCTGTCTCGGTGCGGCTGTGAGTCAGAGGTATTGTAGTAGTAACTGTGCGGAGACTCGTGTATTGGCCTGATTCACCCATCTGTCAACTGTGGTGCTTTTTATAGCCTCGAGTTTGTAGTGCTTCTCCGGATGTAGTAGGAGATGGGAGAGGTAGTGAGGCTGGGGAGGAAGTCTTGTGGGGTAGCTCTGAGGACCAGGTGCAGTCACCAGCAGGTTAGGCAGGATTGTTTGGGTGATCCCTGCACGGACCCCATTCTGACTTGTTCTTTTCTCCGCAGCACAGGCAAAGCTGGAACTCTGCCCTGGTCCTGTCTGCCCCCCGGATCTCACCAATCAGAAACTCCCTGTGCAGTGTGTGCTGAGTGATTGTGCACCGTGGATCTTTACATGCCTGTGTGCAAAATGTCACGCCAATGCAGGAGACGCCTGCCATGGGGCCCAGGAGACGCAGCAGCGAGCCTCTGATAGGAGCTCCTGCAGCGATAAATCAGAAGGTGGAGAGAGAGGTGCCAGGCCTTCATTTAGAAGGACAAAGAAGCCGGGCGATGGTGGCGCACGCCTTTAATCCCAGCACTCGGGAGGCAGAGGCAGGCGGATCTCTGTGAGTTCGAGACCAGCCTGGTCTACAGAGCTAGTGCCAGGACAGGCTCCAAAGCCACAGAGAAACCCTGTCTCGAAAAACCCAAAAAAAAAAAAAAAAAAATAGAAGGACAAAGAAAAGGAGTTTGGGGACCCTCTCCAGGCCGTCCCTAAAGCAGCCAGTCAGCTTTCGGAATGGTATCAGACGGGTAGGGATGGCGACCAGCCCAGCACAAGCTGGGTGCACTGAAGAACCCGAAAAGTTGTTGAAGCGAATAGAAATCTTGGGGTTTGGAACGGTCAGCTGTGGAGAGTGTGGGCTGGGCTTCTGCAAGATGACAAACCTGCTTAGTTACCAGAGGATCCATTCAGGGGAGAAGCCGTATGTGTGTGGGGTGTGTGAGAAGGGCTTCAGCCTAAAGAAGAGCCTTGCCAGACACCAGAAGGCGCACTCTGGGGAAAAACCCATCGTGTGCAGAGAGTGTGGGCGAGGCTTTAGCCAGAAGTCAAACCTCATCATCCATCGGCGGACACACTCAGGGGAGAAGCCTTACGTGTGCAGGGAGTGTGGCAAAGGCTTTAGCCAGAAGTCAGCTGTTGTGAGACACCAGAGGACTCACTTAGAGGAGAAGACCATCGTGTGCAGTGACTGCGGCCTTGGCTTCAGCGACAGGTCCAACCTCATCTCCCACCAGCGGACGCACTCAGGGGCGAAGCCTTATGTTTGTAAGGAGTGCGGGCGGTGCTTCAGACAGGGGACAACCCTTGTCAATCATCAGAGGACTCACTCAAAGGAGAAGCCTTACGTGTGTGGTGTGTGTGGGCACAGCTTTAGCCAGAATTCAACTCTCATCTCCCACAAGAGGACACATACCGGGGAGAAGCCATACGTGTGTGGGGTATGTGGACGAGGCTTCAGTTTAAAGTCCCACCTCAACAGACACCAGCACATCCACTCAGGGGAGAAGCCCATCGTGTGCAAGGATTGTGGGCGAGGCTTCAGCCAGCAGTCGAACCTCGTCAGGCACCTGAGGACACACTCTGGGGAGAAGAAGCCCATGGTGTGTGAGGAATGTGGACGAGGCTTTAGCCAGAAGTCAAACCTCCTCGCACACCAGAGGACACACTCAGGAGAAAAGCCATTTGTGTGCCGAGACTGCGGGCGAGGCTTCAGTCACCAGGCCGGGCTCATCAGACACAAGAGGAAGCATTCAAGGGAGAAGCCGTACGTGTGCAGGCAGTGTGGACTGGGCTTTGCCAACAAGTCAGCTCTGATCACACATAAGCGGGCACACTTTGAAGAGAAGCCCTGTGTGTGGACAGAGTGTGGCCCAGAGACTTTATCCAGAAGTCACACCTCACCTTACATCAGATGACACATAAGGGGAGAAAACTTACACATCCAAGACCTGTAGACAGGGCTTTAGGCAAAGGTCTCACCTTATCAGACACAGGAAGATGAAAGGGCCCACCACAAACGGCTCCTGCAGCCCGACTCGGAAGCCTGTTTGGGGCACTCATCTGGGCCCTTCTATTCCCTTTGAAAATGAGGATGATGGAAAGGTTCATTGTCAGAATTCTTACACTTTCGTGAAGCAGACCAATGAACTTCATAAGGCCTACGGGCAGTAACTCAGCCCACTTCCTTCCAGTCTCACCTTCTGTGGCCTGTTGTCTAGTAAACTTTCAGCCCACTTCCTTCTGATCTCACGTTCTGTGGCCTGTTGTCTAGTAAACTTTCAACCCACTTCCTTCTGATCTCACGTTCTGTGGCCTGTTGTCTAGTAAACTTTCAGCCCACTTCCTTCTGGTCTCATGTTCTGTGACCTGTTGTCTAGTGAACTTTGCTTCTTTACAAGTCTGCAACCTGATCTGTGATTCTCATTCTTTTAGGAAATGGACCATTCGGGTGTCTTGAACTCACTGTTCACAAAAATCCATTGCTTGGGAGATAAGGGCATAGCTGCAAGACCCGTAAGGCCTCAGAGAGAGTAAGTGTGTGGCTAAGCCACACAGAGTGGTTTCAGTGGCTGTTGATGCAGCCATTCCTAAGCATTTTAATACCTCAACCTGAGCGTCTTGTTTCGGGATCTTTGTGGAAGGGTTTTTACCTCATGAAGTGAAATTCATTTAAACGGGCAGGAAACCCAATAGAAATTCCAGCTATGAAATCAGATTTTTCTTTTCACCCAAATTCACTCCAAAAGTTGTTTTTATACTTAAGTGCATATACCCAATATTTATTTATTTATTGTTTGTCTTTTCAAGACAGGGTTTCTCTGTAGCTTTGGAGCCTGTCCTAGAACTCGCTCTGTCAACCAGACTAGCCTCAAACTCACAGAGATCCGCCTGCCTCTGCCTCCCGAGTGCTAGGATTAAAGGTGGGCGCCACCAAGCAATTTTTAAAAGATAGTCCAGAAACACAGTTGTTGTTGTTGTTGTTGTTTTTAATTTTATGTATTTGAGTGTTTTTCCTGCATGTATCACAAGCATGCTTGCAGCCCTCGGAGGACAGAAGAGGGCATCAGACACCTTAGAACCAGAGTTATGGATGGCTCTGAGCCACCATATGAGTGCTGGAAATAGAGTCTGGCTCTCTACAAGAGCAGCTGTTGTACTTAACCTCTAAGCGATCGCCTCTGCCCCCTAATTGCAGTTTTTCACCCCAATTGCATACTAGGATTATCTGGATAAGATAGCATACTATATTTTCCTTTCAAATGCTCTTGCAGTTAGGACTTTTTATCCAAATTCACTAATTCTTATAGTCTTTAGGAAATAATGCCAGATTTTAAAAAAATTACCAGGTATGTGATTTTTCTTATAAATTTCCTTAGATTTTTGGAGTGTTCATAGACTATATGCTGCATTATTTTATGGACTGTCAAGAGATAAATAGTTCATATCATTGCACTGTAGGTTTAGGGGACACAAATGTGTTCCCAGGTTTCCCTTTGGATGATCAAGAAACAAATTAAAAACCAAATTTATGTAAACAGTGGGGACTTTGGGGAGAGAAAACCATTATTTCTGTCCAGATTTTCTAGAACTGTGGTATTTTCAGTTACATCTGCTCAAGTGTGAATGGTATAAGAACTAAATCTTCTAAGATATATGCAGAAAATGTAATTTCTTCTAAAATTCACTGAAATCATGGAGGCTTGTTTTGCTGTTGTTACATACCCTTTGCAAGAATTTTCTTCTAAATGGCATTGAAGTACGATTTTCCCGTCAAATTGGCTCAAATAGAGAAGTCTTGGGGAATAATTTCTATGCCAGAATTTTCTTCCAGTGTATCTTAAAGACTTATATTTCATCCAAATTTCTTTACTTGATGGGTACTAGGGTGGGATAGGAAAATAAGCCCTCTTCCACAAGTGGTAAGAAAACACTTGTTAAATTTTGTAACTTCCTAATAGGAGCAGGCTCTGCGCCATATTTTCTCCACAATGGCTCCTACACATGATTTTTAAGAATCCAGATTCAGACCAGTGTGCACGTTTGTTTTATCTTGTTCTTTCCTCATGTCAGACCTTAGCTAGCTAGCTTTTCTTCCCGAAAGCGATTTTTTTTTAATTCAAAACATCTTTTTTTTTGGTCCAAAGTGATTTAAAAAGACAGCCTTTCACCCAAAGTTGCCAGAAGTGGAATTGCAGGCACAGTGCATGACATATTGTCCATGTCCAGATTTGTATAATGTCGGGGTGGGGCAGTCAACATGAGTTATTTACCACTGTCACCTCAAAGAGCATGCAAATGCACACCCCCCCCCCTGTTTTTGAGACAGGTTTTTTTTTAAGATTTATTTATTTATTTATTTATTTATTTATTTATTTATTTATTTAGTATACAATATTCTGCCTCCATGTATGCCCACACGCCAGAAGAGGGCACCAGATCTCATTACAGATGGCTGTGAGCTACCATGTGGTTGCTGGGGAGGTGCCACTGAGCCATCTCTCCAGCCCCGAGACAGGGTTTCTTTATGTAGCCCTGGTAGTTCTGTAGACTAGTGTAGACCAGGCTGGCCTCAAACTCAGAGATCCGCCTGCCTCTGCCTCCTGAATGCTGGGATTAAAGTTGTGTGCCACCACTGCCTGGCAAAAATGCATCTTTTTAAGATCCATATTCATTCAGATTGTGATTTTCTTTATATTTGACCTAATTTTTTAAAAATATTTATTTATTTATTATGTATACAATATTCTATCTGTGTGCATGTCTGCAGACCAGAAGAGGGCACCAGACCTCATTACAGATGGTTGTGAGCCACCATGTGGTTGCCGGGAATTGAACTCAGAACCTTTGGAAGAGCAGGCAATACTCTTAACCACTGAGCCATCTCTCCAGCCCCCTTGACCTAATTCTTAAAGCAGTTTCTTTGTTCTAGACTAGCCCAGAAACATGATTATTCATTTACATTGCTTGTGCTATAGATGATTTTGGATATAATTCTGTGCCAGATCTTCCAAAATGACCCTGGCTAGGGTTTTTGTAAAGCCAGACTGAGCGAGGTGTGTGCCCATGTCTTTAATCCCAGCGCTGGAGAGGGCAGAGGCCGAAAGCAAGTACACTGAACTGCAGGTTCAATGAAGAGACCTCCACAAGGATACCTGGTCTAGCCTTCTCTAGCTCCTGCATGTTCACACCTGCATACGCCCCACACACCCCTCGAGCCCTCATGCTTATGCAGCAGGCGCTCTTACCCCCTGAGCCATTCCCTGGCACCCTTCTCCCATTCCACAGCAAGAATATGAAATAGGAGAAATAGAAAAAAAAAAAAAAAAAAAAAAAAGGGAAAGGGGCATGGGAAACAGACGTCAGCCTTTTTTCGGACCTTTGACCAAGGCTTGTCCATGATGCAGACAGTCCAGTGTCTGAGTACCGTTTGTCCAGGTCTCATTTTAAGGACATCTTTGAAAGGCTGATGGTGTAGCTCAGTGGTAGAGCACTTGCCTCTCACAAGAGGGGCTCTGGATTTGATCCCTAGTACCACCAAATTGGTACATGAATATTTTTGTGGTCTGTGTGTGTGTTGTAATATAACTCTTCACGTAGTAGTGTTCAGATTCCATTCAGATGAAGGGAGCGATGGTCAAGGTCACAGGCAACACAAAGCTGAACTTACGAAGATACACGAAGATGGCTGTGATTTTAAGTTGGGTGTTCTAGAGATGCCTCACAGTCCACTAGACAGACAAACACAGGTTGATTGGCACGCGCTCAGTTTCCTCTTTCTCTTCCAAGGCTACAGCAAAATCTCACACGCTGGGATCACACCTTTTTTTTATTCTTTTTAGGCATATACTAAATAACTTTAGATTGTTTTTATTTCCCTGATTTTAAGGAATTTAAGGAAGGAGGAACATAGAAGCAGGTGATATGATTCTTTTTTAAAAACAGCAGGTGGAAAAAAGAAAAAAACAGCAATTTCTTGGTATACTATGATGATTAGTTTTAAGTTTCAACCTGGGAAGTGTCTCAGTGAGGCTCTGTCTACATCAGGCATTGGTAGGGGTTGTCTAGATTATGCTAATTTGAGGTGGGAAGGCCAAACCACGATGGGTGGCATTATTCCCTGATGTGGGATACCCCTCTGTATACTGTGACTATGTTTTATCATCATTGGTTAATAAAGAAGCTGCTTTGGCCTATGGCAGGACAGAATATAGCCAGGCTGGAAATCCAAGCAGAGGGAGAGGGGGAAAGAAGGCGGAGCCAGGGAGATGCCAGCATCTGCCAGAGAAGTGGGATGTGAGGTAACAAGCCACGAGCCTTGTGGTAGAATATAAAATAATAGAAATGGGTTAAATTAAGTTATAAGAGCTAGTTAATAATAAGCCTCAGGTAAGAAGCCAAACAGTTTGTAATTAATATCAAGCCTCAGAGTGGTTATTTGGGAACTGGTGGGTGGGAGACCAGCTACAGTTCCCTAAGTGGGGGATCCTGGACCGCAGAAGAGTGGACAAAGTGAGCTGAGCAGGAGCATGCAGGCGTTTACTGCTCCTTGTTCCTGGTTATGGATGTGACATGATGCGCTCCCTCAAGCTCCTGCCACATACGAGCTAAGTTGGCGTTGTCAGGAGTCTATCAGAGCAACCAGAAAAGAAACTTAAGACATACCAACCAGAATCAGAATACTGGGGTTGGAGAGAGGGGTCGGAGGTTAAGAGTGCTTGCACTGTAATCATGAAGAATGGAGTTCAAATTCCAGCATCTGTTTAACAAGCTGAAGTTTTCTACAAACATCTGTAACCCCAGAGCTAATGTGGCAGAGACAGGATGGTTGCTCAAGTTTACTTGCTTCCAGCTTAGCTGAGACATGAACCTTGAATTCAAGAAGAGGCCCTGTTCAGAGGAAGAGGCAGAGAGACAGAAGACACCTGGTGCCCTCTCCTGGTCTCTGTGAGCATACACAGGAGTGTGAACCACCCCACACACATGCACACTCTCAGACACCACACATACACACAATCTTTTAAATCATAATATTATTTCATAAGGAAATAGATATTATTTAAAACTAGTTATTTAAAATAACCCATGCACAGAAACCTTGAAAAACTGACACTCTAAGAATGTGATAGTTCAGGAATTTTTCCTTTATTTAAATTTTCTGCTGTTTTAATTTCTTATAACACACATGAAATGTTTTATGAAATGGTCACTTGTCTGCACAGGATAAGCGGTGAATTCATTCTGCTGAGATCTGAACGTCCATCTTGACTGTACACGTATCCAGGAGGCAAAACCTGCACCAGCATTTCTTGTCTCACAACACATAAACCCATACAACCAAGATATGGATCCACTTAGAAATTTGCTGGCATATATATTTTCATTTTGAGTACAACCTTGTATCAGAAAATAAAACTTTTCCAAGCTTAATAGCCAAGATATCTATTTTCCAAAGCTATTCTTTAGGCTCATTAATCATTCAAAAAACCATAAAGTGCATTTTCACAACTACTTCCTAAGAACCCACCTGTGCCAGGAGCTAGAGTTAAACATAAGACGCACAGTCTCAGGCATGGAGACTGGGTGTGTAGGCATGCAGGTACAACATTGTGCTGGTCAGCTTTTCATCACTATAACACAATACCAGAGATGATCAACTTATAAACAAAAAGTTTGGTGTTTGCTCACAGTTTTGAAGTTTCCAGTCCATGGTCATTTGGTTCCATGCCATTGGGCATGTGGCAAGGCAACACATCGTACCAGAACAAAATCATTCACGGCATCACCAGGAAGCAAAAGAGAATGAGTTCCCACAAGCCCCTCCAAAGACCTGCCTTCAACCTTTAAAAGACATCTTACAGGCCCACATTTCTTGAAGGCTTCTTCTTGGGATTCCCCTATCCTCACCCATGCTCCCAGGTGAACTTCAAGATTTGTCCAGCTCAGTGGTCAAACCACTGTGAAATGAAAAGACACTTTCGGGACTTTGGCCATCAGGAACATCACACAGAAACAACCCATATGGTCACATCACTGAAGAAGCTTACTGAAGGAAACGGACTACTTATACTGACATGTCACAGTATTAGACACAACAAAAAATTCACTTTCAACACGTTCGCCTTAAGAAAATATGCAAGGGATCACCAACTCTTTGCTGTCTCTCATGTGATGACCTGGGTAGGCAGGGAGGCGCAGGCTCATTCCCAACAGGGTACCAATGATACATGGTGGATGAGCTGGCATACATGCTGCCTACACTTTAAAATGATTTGCACTCAATGGTTCTAGAGCAAGTGGAAGGCCCGTGTTCACTGCTGTTGACCTATGTACAAAAGCTGGATCGTCTAGACAGCTTTCAGACTTGATAATACATTTTTTTGGTAGATATTACTATTTTGAATAATCACTTTGGGTAACCTGAATCTACAGACTGCATACTGCCAAAAATACCAGCCAAGACAACCTACAGCTCCTCCTGGGCTCTTAGGGTGGATAAAGAGACCTGGAGATGGAAAGCTCCAGCCTGGGCCCAAATGGGAACAGATCAGAAACAATGAAGTGCTTTTGCTTTAGCGGTTGCAGGAGACGAGAACCCTGCCATTGGTGAATGCAGTTTCTGTCTCAGCCTTATAAATTCAACTTTGCTAAAGATGGGAGACTTTGGGGAGTTCAAGGGTATCAGCCCGGGAAGCTTACTGAGACTTTCAGGTACTTTTTGTGGGGAGCTGGCTACGTACTCTCTTCCATCATGAGCCAGCTCACTGCATTATGAATTTACCTAATATCAAACAATGCAGGGTGTACAGAATGTCCCATTAGTTGGCCTGTCACAACCAATCAGTTAAGAATTCAAGACTCCTCTGAGTGCACTAATGCCCTAGACAGACACCAATCGGGAGAAGTATCCTCCTGGACAGATGTTCCTCCCTGGAGCCATACAAGTCCATCCTTCAGATGACCACTCCACAAGAGGACATTCCATCCCAGTCTCCCACTCACGCATGGCCACTGAACCGCTCTCTGCTAGACTGGATTTAGCATTCTCTGCCCACATACCCTCTTTTGTACGTACTAAGAACCACATCCATGCCACTACCATAACATTCTAAGACCTTAGTCTTCTCTTGCCACTTTCTTCCTATGCTCCCCCAGTGCTGTATCTAACGATATCTAACAATGTTGTTTTATGCCAGCTCCATTGTGTGTCAGCATGTGTGTCTATGGGAACAGTGTCACAGTTTTAGAGATGCTTTCTTCTACCACCTCAGCGAAAGGTCGGGGACTTTAAACTACCCTCCGTTGCGTTTTCAAGGAACATACGCAGAGCCAATATCCAGGCCGAGGACTTTGGTTTCAAATTGGCCAACAGGATTTGTAGAGTGAGTGCTGGCAAAGTAGGCTCTGAGGACTGTGGGATCATAATTATCATTAGGCCACTGATCGTGACCAAGAGTGTCGTCTGTTATACAGAGACAGGCAAGATGGCAGCCACCCCTCTGTCCAGGTAGATTCGCATCTACTATTATTACACAAAGGGGACAGATACAGCTGCTGGAGGCCCACAGTGTTCTGATACAATGTCAAGTTTTCTTCAAGGAGGGGTTGAGTGCTAGACTCTTTTCGCCCAGGAAGGTAGGAGACAAAACTCCTGTAGAACTGGAGACACAGAAGCGTCTGCTCCCACTTCCCAAATGTCCACACGTGTGTAGGAAGTGCCTCCCAGGTCTCTTATAGACAGTGGCTCTCATGCCTGATGGAGGGCATGAGTTGAGAGAAGAGGAGCAGCCATTAACACGAAGTCAAGCTGAGTAGGAGTAGCCTTGCTTTCAGAGGACTTAGCAGAACCTAAGTTACAAGGATGTGGGACCCATCCCTAGGAACATACTTCTGGGGAGCCCCCTTTGCCGCAAAGAAAGCCATCTGTAAAGCTCTCATCCGAACAGAATTATTTTCAGGCACCCGTCTGCTGTGGGTGAGAGGTCACTAGCATGCAGGAAGAACTGCCGGGAGGAGGGGGGAAGAGCCTGGACGCACTGAGTCCGGCCTGAGGGAGCGAGAAACAGGGCCATCTAGTTCTGAATCAGGGGAAGAGACCCACAGTTGACTTTCTGCTAAGATAAGGACACAGTCACTCTACTATGAATTCTTATAAGTTATTTGATTAAGCTATATATAGATATATATGTTCAATAGAAGCGGGGAAGGATATATACGTGCTATATAGTTTTATGTTATACTCCTTGTGCACACAGACAGATGTGATTACATAATGTTGTATCACCCCTGCAGAGACATGGTTGACTCTGAGGGTGAAGCAGTGGCTGAAGAATCGGAATGAGAAGAGCTTTATTATAATAGTACTTTATACTTTTTGACTTTGAGCCACGTTAACTATTACCTACTGTAAAGTAAATTAGCAGCTGGGCTCAGGTACTTCAGTTGGTCGGGTATTTGGTTAGCATGCATGAAGCCCTGGGTTCCGTTCCCTGTACCACATAAAACTGAATGTGGTGGTACAAGTCTGGAATCCCAGGACTCAGTGGGTTGGAGGCAGCAGGGTCAGGAGTTCAAGGTCATATTCAGCTAAATAGCAAGTTTAAGGACAGGGCACATGAGACCCTGTCTCAAAAACAACAATAAAGAAGAAAAACAAAAATTTAAAACCAAACTTCAAAATTATCAGTAAAACATTAAAAAGTATCTGGACATGGTGGCACATGCCTTTAATCCTAGCATTTGGGAGACAGAGACAGATTGATCTCTGTGAGTTCAAGGCCAGCCTGGTCTATGTATCAAATTCTAGGCCAGTCATGGCTGTATATTGAGACACTGACTCAAAAAAAAAAAAAAGCAAGAAAGAAAAGAAAAAGAAAGAAAGAAAAAATAAAAAGAAAACAACAAAACAGAAAATAAAATATTAAAAAACATATTTTAATTTCCCCATACTCCAAAGTATATATGGTATTCGATAGTAATACCAGTTAGAAAAAGAAAAAAGAGCTGGGTCTGCTGGTCCCAGCATGTCCTCTCAGTTACTTGGGAGGCTGAGGAGGGAAGATCCCAAGTTGTTCAAGGCCTTTCTATGCTACAGAGTAAGTTCAAGACCAGTCTGAGCAAATTCACACGTTCAAAACAAAGAAGGCTAGGAATATAGCACAGTGGTACACTTGCCTAGCCTCTGCAAGGCCCTGGGTTCAGTCCCTCCTACCACTTGCAAGTGTGTGTATGTGCACGAATACACATACACACATACACTCATACATTCACTCACATATACACACATGCACACACACACATACACGCATACACACACACACACGCATACACACACACACATACACACACACACGCATACACACACATCTTATGAGTTCCTTTCAATTCTGATTCTTACACTTAAATACACATTCCAAAAACAAGAACATCTGTAGCTGGATAGTCTCTTTGCAGCCTTGTGACTACGTCAGATCTAACTGTCACCTAGGATGGGGTTCCCGGACGGGGAGAGTTGGTCCTCCAGACCTTGGCTGAACTTAGCGGCAAAGAGCGAAGCGGTGAAGTCATCCCCAATCTCAAGAGCGATGTCATATGCTGTCTGGCCTCTGGTGTTCTTCTTTTGAGGATTTGCGTTGCACCTGCGAAGGAAGTGGAGAAAGTTACTCAAGGTCACTCAGGAATATGACCCTCAGAGCTGACTATTCCTTGCCACAGAGACCAATGTAGGTACCTGGTTCTACCTCCCCAAACGTGTCCCAAAGAGGCCAGCTCTCAGAATGACTCTCCCTTTTAAGGGATTGTGGGGTTTCAAATGTTCAATTGCCTGTCCTTGTGGTTGCCTTAAATCGCATCAAAGTCCTATAGCCATGTTAAATGAGGGTACCACTCATTGTGCGATAGTGGCCTTCCCTGACAGGGATAACAGTTCGGAAGGTAGGGCCTGTCTAATACCACTGAGTGTCAGTAGGGATGTCACTGCTATCCTCGGTGGAAGCCTTCGGACATACCCCAGTAACGTGGTGATGCTCTCCTTTCCTTCCAGGCCAAGCAGAGTTGCTTCATGAAGAGCTGTATTTCTGAACCTATTTGTGGGGGGAAAAATTTCTGGGTAAACGTTTAGCGTCATCAGGAAAATGGAAAGGGACTAAACTCAGGTCCTCAGGCTCGGTGGCAGGTGCCTTTACTGCTGAGTCACCTTGCTGGCCCTAATTCTGGTTTCTAAGGAGCACCTTGCCAAGCCTCTCAGCTCTCTAGCTTCAGAAAAACTAGGTCTCTGAACGGCTGAAGCCTAAGGGTGGCGGGGTGGAGGGGATGTGGTTCCCTGGATGCACCAAGCCCAGCTGCAGGGCAGAGGCCATGCTGGAAGGTTTCAATTTTTTAGATGGATATATTTGAGGTAGATTTAGTAGCATTTAACTCTCTGGGGGCAAGTCTACTTCCCTTTATTGGCACCGACTAAAAAGGAAGAAGAACTCTGTGTTTTATTTGGGAAGATGGCCTCCAGTCTGGCTTTCTTCCCTCAAAGACTTTCAGCTACTTAAGTTAAACACTGCTCAGGGCAATCTTGATAACGCAGTGGGAGCCGCGTTGTTACTACTCCACTCAGGGGCACAGCCACAAAGCTGCGACTTAGGAGGCCTGCACTGGCACTGTGCATCAGTCAGCGGGACGGGCCAAACCAAGCACAGGACTCGGCATGTCTGCAGTGAAATCCCATGTGTATCTGGGTCACTGTGGCGTGCCTGTGAAGTATATAAGGAAACTAAGGAAGACCACAATAAAGTGGCAACTTGTTCTATGTCCACAGAAGTTTCAAACTCGTAGTTGAATTGTTCATGAATCCAGGACTCATTTTACTGGAGAATCGTTTAAAAAGTGACTTGCAGATCAACCACAAGGCATCATGCTTAAATGCTATGAAAACTTGTCTGAATTATAAAAATACAAAATATATTATGAAGCAAATAGCATCACTGGGTACAGTGGTGCACACCTTAGATCTCAATGCACAGAATGTCGAGGCAGGTGGATCTTCGTGAATTCAAGATCAGCCAGGCTGAGCAGCCAGTGAGACATTATTAAAAAAAAAAACCCACACTTAATCAAATAGCATCATTTATTTCATCATCAAGAAAACGATGCAAAGGTATGGGAAAATGAAGAGGGTGCAGACTTAAGAAAACTCAAGAAAGTCAACAATGTTCTATAACTATATATCAAATATTCTGTTATAGAATAAGCCTGAAAGGGTGCAGACTCTTCTGATACAGTGTCCTATGGGAAATACTATAAATTGTACTCAGAAAATAGGCTCTTGTTATTATAGCCCTGTCTAGCCTCAAACTTGTGGTCCTCCTGCCACAGCCTAAGTGCTGAGAGTACAGGTATGTACCAACAGCCCTGGTGACAAATTTTACAAGTACATATAGTCAATTTGGAAGACTAAGAAAGCAAAATGAATAGTAGCCATAAAGAATATATATATATTTAGAAAAATTCAAACAGATAATAGAAGCAAAGCTATGGGAATTTTATTCCCTCCTCCATGGTGGCTGGAAATACCAAACAACACATCTCACCAAGCCAGGAAGCAAGAAGGCTAAATCCCCGCATTTTTGGAAACTTCTATTTGACATCATGTCCAGAAGATGAGCATTGCCATACATGAAACATACTACAGGAACTTCTGAACCCAGTTTCCAAAGTAATTTGGAAGCAAACAAGAGAATCTCAGACAGGGATTAGGTTGTGAGTCAAGATGGCCCTGAGGCTGGGCAGTAGGTAACTTTACATGGAACCCCTCGTCCTCAGATGTGGACACTAAGGGGCCAGGGACTGTGTGGTGGACTCTCACGGCAGCTCCTCACCGGTGGTTTCAGCCCGGCAGACAGCCATGTAACCCTTTCTTTCTGCATTAACTTTATAGATATATTTTCACAGGAATACACCAAGGTCTCTCTTTACTCAGCATAGGCCTTAACAGTTTGGATGATGACAATAGCTTTGCCCAATATCCCAAGAGTTAAAGATTCCTTAGACCTAGAAAAGTACAAGTTCATGTTGGATGTGGTAGCACACACCTATAATCTCAGCACTCAGGAAGCAGAGGCAGAAGGAGAGCAAATTCAAGGCCAGATGGTCTACATTAGCAAGTTTTAGGTTGGCCATGCCTAAATAAAAAGCATACAAAAAGTACAAATTAATAGGTTAGCAAATGCATTACCATTTATAAAGCCCATTAGCAATGCTGGCACATGCTTTTAATCCTAGCTATCAGGAGGCAGGCGGATCTCTGAGTTCAAGGCCAGCCTGATCTACAGAGTTTCAGGACAGCCAGGGCTACACAGAGATACCCTGTCTCAAAAAAAGAAAATTATAAACCCCATTAAGTTAGGCAATAGAGTATTTTAAAATTTGGTTTTACTCAAGGTCCCTTGAGTCATTGTTTTAGAAGGCTGTAGAACTTTTAGGAGGTGGAAATTAACTAGGGGAAGGTCACTGAGGGTGGGCTTAGACGTATTATAGCCCTGCCCCACTTCTTCCTGAGTGTAGATACAATGTGAGCAGTGACCTCCTGCTCCTGACCAAGCCTTCCCTGCCTGCTGCCTTTTTGGACTACATCCCTCCAAACTGTAAGCCCGATCAAACCCTTTCTCCCCTGGGTTGTTTCTGCCAGGGCTTTCTATCACAGGAGAAATAAAGTCGAAAGCACCAGCTTTGGAAAATACCCATTAAGCATTTTACAAAGGCTGGAAGAGAGTAAAACAGTTCTGGGGGTTCCAATCGAGCAGGACACTTGCACGGACTGACTCTACTGTGACAGAACCCTGTGAGCTATGCTTAGTCACAACAGGTGCCCTGCTGTCCTTCCAGTGTTTCACTTACGGTCCCCACTGCAGGTCGATGTCTGCTCCTCTCTGAGCAAGAACTGGAATGGCTTCATGGTGTTTATTCACAACAGCCACGATAACAGCGGGTCGCCCTTGACTATCACAACAGTTAGGGTCTGCTCCCTGTGGGTCATGGAAAGGGACAAACTCGCCATAAACCCCGAACTCAACATTGCCCAACTGCCATCCCACCATGAATGACAAATGTCCTGCAAAGGGATGATGGCATTAAACTGAGTACAAACCAAAGGAGAATGAGGAATCTTATGAACACAGCTATAATGGACACAGATGTCAAGCCCCCAGATGTTTAAGACTTTCCCCCACATCGGGAGGAGCAAGCAAGCACCCAACTACCTTGCCTTGTTAGGAAAGCAGGCTGAGAGCAAATTTGGCCACATTCTGTCCAGCTCAAGGACATTACTTAGGTTCGCACGTGCTTGTCTTTGCTATAAAAGCAGGCAGAGAAGCACCTCGGAGTATAAAGCCCTTGGGCAGTTTTTCAGCCCTTGCATGCAGAGCTCGGTCAGCAGGCAGCGCACAAAGCAGGCTGCTCTCTGCAGAGAGGCCTGTTCTGAGGGCACTCACTTCATCGAGCAGCTGTTCCAGCACGGACAGTCTTCCTTTCCCGGCGGGGCCAACCTCCTCCAGCAGGAGTCTGTTTTCAGGCTGTGGGGTGACAGAACAGGGCATCTTCATGGCCTCTGGGTACCTGTGCTGCAGAGTCCCAGCCGAGCGCTCAAGGCAAACCCCTCCCCGCTCCCAGGCTAGTAGTTATCTTCTCCGTTGAACAACATGGACGGGTAAGTGTGAGTTTTGAGAGAAGGGGTGTATGTGTGTGTGTGTGGTGTGGTGTGTTTTTCTGAGTGTTTCTGTGTGTACACAGTCCTCCATATGCAGTAGTACAGACATACACGTGTAACTGTAATGTGTAATCTGTGTTCAGCTCCCAAGCCTTGTTATGGGTACCAGGACACTGCCTTGACATTTGTTTTATACAATCAAGGGCAAGGAAGCCCATGAGAGGCCTCACAAAACCTCAGAAATTTGCAAAGTTTGTAATGAATAGCTCCCGGAAGAGCAGCTAGGGTGAAACCTCAAATCTACTCTGTGGCTTCACTCTGTGGCTTACGAAAGTGCCTGAGGCTAGCCCAGGATGACAGATCACATGCTCGCCCAAGAAATGGAACCAACAGACCAATACTTTCATTGGTCCATAGACATCTGAAGAATTTCTTTCATGTTTTCAAAATGCCATGAAATTTACCTTTATCTGTCTTTAATATCATTTTATATATAGAAAGGATTCCAAATACTAGATGACTGAAGGAATTAGGCCCAAACAAGCACACCGCTTTAGTATGCTTCTGCCACTAGGTTCCAGTCATGCCTTGGGTGGTCACAGGGACTGGGACTGCCCTTTGTAGAAGCGGTTACAAAACCTACTCCCCTCCCTGGGCTACTAAGCCTTTCAGAAGATATGGGGTTCAGTCTATGTGACCCCTCATTTGCCACCCCACCTCTCTGGTGAATTTCTTGGAACAAGGTACTGTTTCCTAATCAGAAAAACCCCACATGGTCTTAGGTATGGTGCCCTTTATTCGTTAAGTGACTAGACAATGAAGCATCATCATGTATTTAGCCAAACCAATTATCAGAGAAATTTGAGCACTCAGAACTGACCCTGGAGGAAACAGAGATGATCCAGGAAACTGATGAGACTTTAAAATTAGCCCTAGTTCACTATCTTAAGAAATTTGCCACAAAAGAGACAGCACTGTTGTTTAAAAGGAGAAAATAAGAAAGCATCCTATTACAAAATGTCCAAATCAACACCGGTGCAGCAGGCTGCACGAGAGCTACGGAGACCAAGAAGTGCACCTACTGCAGGCAGCTCTGGGTTTCTGTGCAAGTTTTTGGTCTTGAGATCCTTCATCTTCTTGATATTTTCAGGCATGTCTGAGGCGCTCTGGCTATAGGCACTAACTGAAATGACAAAAAGTTGGAGACCAAAATGACCCTGCCTTACTTGTCAGGTGGAAGGACACTTTGGTCATGCCTCCAAAAGTCACAATGATAAAATGGATTTTCTAGATTTTTTTTTTAAATTAAACCTGGCAGGTGGAACTCTTGACCACCCCTTCCAGGAACCTGGAGATGATTTGAAAGGGAAAAGAAGGGATTTTAATTTTTAGATTAAAAAGCACATGTACACCCCCCTCGCCCTCCACCAGCTGCAGCAAATAAACTTCCTAAGCCCTGTGAAGGATTTCAGAAGTCAGACCCCCCCATCTCCAGAGAAGCCAGACAAATAAACTGCCTGGAACATGTTGAGATTTGTGACTCAGCTTCAAATTTTATACGAGTCTCACCAATCCCTGACTAATCAGTGTGTTCTTGGTTTAATTACTGAAAACTCACCACGAGGGTATAACTTACCCAAGCTGGCCCTGCTGTCATACAGCCCGTTTCCACCTTCGCTGATACTGCTCAGAAAGTGGTCACTGAGATTCATCGCCTTGTTGATGTACAGGTTCTGGCCAATGAAAACATTTCAAGCATCAATAACAATGGGGCTGCTATATCTCAGTAGAGAGAAGCTCTCCTGCGAGCCTGCTCCTCCGAGGAACACTTACAGTGCAGCCTGAGGCTGGGAACCTTGTGCAAGGTAGGCAAGCATTCTACCATTAAGTCCTAGCCTCTACTTTTTAAGCTTCTACTTTTTAAGACTGCTCTAACAAACTTGTCCCAGATGGTCCTGAACTCATTCTGGCCTTTACTTTGAGATCCTCATGCCTCATCCTTCCAAGTGGTTTATTTTGTATAAAACAAGTCAAGGTGAAAAATCAGTAAATATTTTTTTGTTAGTCTTTTTCCAAGTTTGTTATATCCCAGGCATATAATCATTTTAGTAAGCTGTGACCCCAAGGAAAACCAGAGCAAGTGTGGGTAGCAGCTCCTGCTGCCAGCACATCCACTGGGCTGGACAGTGGGCCTCTCTGACGGTTCGCACGGTTATTTATGTAGTACCATGGAATTCCTTGTCTAGGTCGGGTTTATTATTTGAAACTTTTCCTTTCTATTCATTATGCAAAAGCATCCCTGTGAACTGTAAACCATGGGGCAATCACTTGTCGATAACTTCTGGAGGAGTACATACCTTGTTTGAGACTTGAACATAGTTCAGCCTGATGCTAACTTCGTAGCCATCTTCATGGACAGTGGCAGAGATAAGCTTTTAAAGAAATTTAAAGAATATTCTCAGTTGTGGTGTGGGACTCAACCCCTAAGAACTGTGAGATGTGAAACTCTCTATTTAGTAAAATATTTATCACAAAAAGGTTAGACTGGAGAAACAAGAGGAGAAAGATGAGATAAATAGAAAACAGAGAACAAAACAGCAGACTCCAAACCAACCGACCTGTATTCCTAATTATAAATGAACTAAATACGTTAGTTGAGGGCAGGGACTCTCAGACTCAATAAGAACAAGATCCAAATTTATATTTTCTTCAAGAGACTTCTCCAGTCAGTCATATGGCTTGCCATGAAGATCTACAGACCCTGAAAAGGTGTCCTGGTGAATGGGGAGGAGGCAGCTCTGCAAGGAAGGAGCTCATGAGTGAGTGGTTTGCGCTGTAAGCTGTGGAATGAACTTAAAAGGGGGCAACAAATGTTTCTGAGGATCAAATGGTAGTTTTTATTTAGGTCTCGTGGGTCATAAATTCTCTACTGCAAATGCTTAGCCTTGCTGTGGTAACCCAAAGCAGCCACGGCTAACATGTAAATGGCTGGATACATCTCTGGTCCAATTACATATTACTTGTAAAACTAGGCAGTGGGCCACATTTGTCTCAGAGAGAATAGTTTGCTGAACTCCAGATTAAGACAAAGTTTGCATAAGCTACCAAATAGTCCATCAAAGGAAGCCGAGCAGTACGTGAAAACAAGACAGGTTCAGTGTTGGATGCTTTTGTGACTGATTTGAAAGGGTTCCTTCTAGTCTGTGATGAACAGGACATGTTATCCCACTGAACTGTCTCTTAATGATTTTGTGCTAAAGAAAAGGCATGTGGCTTGGGATCTCCAGACCTGCTCCAAATCTTAATGCCAAGACACAGCAGTGCAGTTTGGGGCAATCTGTCAAACCTCTCTGAGCTTCGGTTACATTGGTTATCAAATAAGACTTGCTATGAAGATCTACAGACTTAAAACAACATAAAACAAAGCTACTTCAATTCTGTGCCATTAAAAAACACTACTTGCAGGCGGTGGTGGCACGCGCCTTTAATCCCAGCACTTGGGAGGCAGAGGCAGGCAGATCTCTGAGTTCAGGACCAGCCTGGTCTGCAGAGCAAGTTCCAGGACTGCCAGTATTACACACAGAAACCCTGTCTCAAGTAGAAAGAAAGAAAATACACACACACACACACACACACACACACACACACACACACACACATAATGAAAGGAAGGAAGAAAGGAAGGAAGGAGAATGAAAAACATAGAAAGCAGAGATGGAAGGGAAAGGAAGAGGAAAAACCACAATTAACAAGCAAAGTCTTGGGGAAGCCTGATCCCAGGGATGCTCTAAACAGCAGCTTCATCTTACCCACCTTTCCCATCCTGGGTTCTGCAATCAAGGCCCGGAAATCAGGGTTATTCTGAGCATAGGACCTGAGGTGAGCAGAGATGTGATCCAATTGTTTTCTCCAGTAGCCTAAAAAGGGAGAGAAACCCAAACATACGGATAATTCTTCCACATTTAAGAAAGAAAGAAGTGAGTGTGGAAGTTCTCTGGCAGGTAATTTCCCTTGGCTAACTGTGTTGGGTTTTCCTTATAGAACCTCAAGTATGTACTAAAGTAAGTGCCACTACCACCCCAGACTATTATACACAGTTATCACAGACCATCACATTTCAAAAGAATATGTAGATTGCTGCATGTGAAGCCCGATGTGGGACGACCTTCTGTCTATGTGTTTATTGGCTAATTAATCAAGCTGTTTTGGCCAATAGCTTAGCAGAATATAGCCAGGCTGGAAGAGATATAGAGAGTGTAGGCAGAGTCAGAGGGATGCCATGTAGCTGCTGCGGGATAGAGATGCCATATTCTTATCGGTAAGCCACAGCCTCATGCCAATACATAGATTAATAGAAATGGGTTAATTCAAGATGTAAGAGCGAATTAGAAATATGCCTGAGTCATTGGTCAAACAGTGTTGTAATTAATATAGTTTCAGTGTGATTATTCAGGTCTGAGCAGTCAGAAACAAAAGGGCAGTCTCCTATTATAGGAGACTTTTATTCTTTTATTATTCTATCTCACATATAAATTACATAGTCCTAAATGGGTTTGAGAATTGTATTCATCCCAAACAACATACAGAACATTTCTATTACTCCAGAAAGTTTCTGTGCTCCTTTTCTGTCTATATAGGGGTTTAAATGGATTTGAATTAGAAATTAGAGCACTTTTGTGAGCCCAGGGGTTTGGCTTTTCATGCGTGGGAGAAAGATATAGTGGTTCCCACCTTTCTGCCAAGATTGAAGGCCCCTGACAAGGAGAAGCAGACTGGGGTGGAATCCCAGCTAAGGTGGCAGAGCCTTTCAGGCAGTGACGGGTAGATTTAGTCCTTTTCTCACTGCTGTGTGGGCTCTCTGAAATGACTGAGTTTGTTGGTGCCCCTGTTCTCCTCTAGCAGGTCTTTCATTCAGGAATACACAGTGAATTTCTTTACTTGGTGCTGACTTTCTAGAGAGCACATTGACCCTCATCCTTCTTCAGGCTTAAGGTCAGAACTCTCAGGGCATCTCATCTATCATGTTCCACTGGCCAGCAAGTGACCACGCCATCAAGATTCCAAGAGACATAAAACAGCCTCTTCCTCTTGAGGAAAGGAGGGATATTAGGAATCATTCTGGAAATGGCTGCAGACAATCTCCTTAGGACTAATGCCACACTCAAGTCTAGAAGAGTCAACCAAACTGTGGCTGAGTTATAACTCTTAACAGCACACTTGGGGAGCAAGTGTAGGGCTGAGAGACCTCCATCACGGCATCCTGGGGATCTTGGTGCTCTCTTTCCCCCAGAGAAACCAGTGTTAAAAAGCAAGGAGAGGCTGGAGAGGTTGCTCAGTGGTTAGAGCACTTGCTTTGGAAAAGGACCTGGATTTGACATCTAAGACTCACACGGTGGCTCACAATCGTCTCTAACTCCAGTTCCAGGGGATTTGATGTCCTCTTCTGACTTCTATGGGCAGGCACCAAGCACACATGTAATGCAGATATATATGTGCAGGCAAACATTCATACATATAAAATAAGTAAACCTAAAAAATAATCAATGATTTAAATTCTCTGGACTTGTTTCTAAAGACATTAGCAAGTTAAGTATTTAATGAAAAAAAAAAGTACTGAAACTCAAGATAGTAATTGGATGGTGTCTGACTCATTACCCAACCCCCTCTTGCTGAATAGGATGGAAACTCCAGTCCAGGTATGTCAGTCAGGAACACAGTCCTGTCCATCTTGGCTCTAAGTTCAACCTCACTATCTTCTCAGAGCAAACAAGATTTCCATATTTCTCATCCTGCCCCAGCTGCCTATTGCACAGCCTAAGCTCTTGGCAAGTGTGGTCCAAAGGGTGTTCTCTCTACTCCTGCCCAGTCATTTCTCATAGGATGGAGGCTTTACCTTGATCTGAGGCACTGCTGCTACTGGGTACCCAGATCTCCTAATCGTGGCTCACTTATCAAAGGCCCATTCTGAGAGAGGTAAAAATAGAAAAATTATATGATTGCTGTATTCCCTGGGATGGATGTCATACTGACAGAAATGTGCCAATATCCAATTCCAAACAAATTTCTGCCCAGGAGAGAAAGAAGGCCAGGAAGCAGAGAGCTCAGAAGCTCTTCCCAAAGCAACTGACTTCACTGTAACAGGGTGGCAGAGTCTTTGCCTAACATGCACAGGACCTGAGTTCAATACCAGCACCTAAAGAAGGGAGCGGGGGCAAGTACAATGCTGATAAATTCACTACAGGTCAGAGTTGCATCATAGGTTGACCACTTTACATAGAACCAGGAAGTAACAGCTAATAAAAGCCCTTCTGAAGTCAGAAGAGTATTCAAATACTGACCTGTAAAAATACTGTTGTAAAAGACCCCACGTTTAATTAGACCAGTCTGTGAAAGGGCTGATGCCGACCTAGAGCTGAAAACAACAAAGTGATGGACTAGCAGTCACGACTGGGAGTGGTCAGGGAAGGAGGCCAGGAGCCTTGCCCAAACCACCAAAGCTACCATCTTCCTAGGATGGCAGAGTGCAGACCAAGGGTGTACTCCCCAAAGTGCAGCCTCAGAGGCTTCACACAGCAGGATGAACTGAAGTTCACCGGGAAGATGGAGCTAGCTGCTAGACAGATAAATGTGCAAATAGCAAGAACCAGCTTGGAAGGGAAACCAGACTAGAGTTGAAATACTCAGTCATTTAAAACCTCCAGCTCTGGGGGCCGTCTCTGATTCTTTTACTTGTTTTTTGGGACCTTTCCTTCTACTGGATTGCCTAGTCCAGCCTTAATATGAGGGGAGGTGCCTAGTTTTACGGCAACTTGATATGCTGTGTTTGTTTGATAGCCCAGGGAGGCCTGCCCTTTCCTGAAGGGATGCAGAGGAGGAATAGGATGGGTGTGGGAGGTGTGGGATGGGGAGGCACGGGAAAGGGACTGGGAAAAAAGGAGAGAAGGGAAACTATGATCAGAATGCAATATATAAGAGAAGAATAAATTTAAGAAAACTTTGGTTCTAACAAAATATTATAAAATGGTAAAAGAAAGAAGAAAGTTAACTAAAACATAAGAACAAAAGGCAGGGGAGAGCCAGGTGATGATGGTGCTCACCTTTAATCTCAGCACTTGGGAGGCAGAGGCAGGAGGATCTCTGAGTTCAAGGCTAGCCTGGTCTACAGAGAGTTCCAGAACATATCCCAGCCATGGTTACACAGAGAAATCCTGTCTTGAGAGAACAAAACAAAAACAAACAAACAAAAAAGGCAGGGGAGAAAAAAACGCCTGCAACAGCAACTGCAAGGCAGGGCTTTAACAGAACTTCAGAGGAGCCGATATAAACATGTTCGGGTGCTAGACTGCAGGTTCTGTAGACGTCCCTCTCTCTTCCAGAAATAAGCACTCCTCCCCCCTTGGACACTGAGTAGTGGCAAGGCCACAGACAGACAGGCCAGTGGGTGACAGGCACTCTGGCACTTGTGAGAGCATATACAGGAGAAGGGATGTGGGAGGTGACCATTTGAGAAATACAAGCTTGCTACTGGAGTGATGGCTGTGTTCACTCCTGAAGAAGAGTGATGATGTCTGTGTAACATCATTAATGAATGTGCTTGATACTGTTCGTTGCATACTTAAACATAGTTAAGATAGTGGATGGTATACTACATGAGTTTTATGCACTAAAATGCTGTAATGACAGGTGGTAAGGATGAGACAGACTAAGCCTGTCTACACAGCAGAATGAACCCACAGGCGCCATGAGACGGATGGGCTAGACAGCTGTTGGGGAATATTATTTTAAAGTGTGTGACTTTTGTTTAGGCTGTATTTGATTAACTCTGTGAAGCTGTGATTCTTTGCTTGTTTAAAACACCCGATGTCTAGTGAAGAGCTGAATGGCCAATAGCAAGGCAGAGCAAGGACAGGCGGGGCTGGCAGCAGAGAGGATAAACAGAAGAAAGAGGAGAGCAAGAAAACAAGGAGAGGAGGACACCAGGAGTCACCCACCCATGCAGCAAGCCATGAGGAAAGAAGTAAAGAAAGATTACAGAAGTAGAGAAAGACAAAAAGCCCAGAGGGAAAAGGTAGTTGGGTTAATATAAGAAAAGCTGGCAAGAAACAGGCCAAGCTAAGGCTTATTTCAGGTTTTATGTGGTGTTAGTTAACCACGATGGGCGCCACGCTGTAGTAGGGAGTGCGGGGGGGGGGGGGGGGNGTTTTTCATCCCGCCCTGCTAGCTTAACCCCCCCCCCGAAATAACCACACAGAAATTGTATTAATTAAATTATTGCCTGGCCCATTAGCTCTATCCTCTTGTTGGCTAACTCTCACATTTTGATTAACCCATTTCTATTAAATCTGTATATCCCAACGTGACTGTGGCTTACTGGCAAGATTCTAACCTACATCCGTCTCAGGCTGGAGATACACGGCATCTGCCACACTGCCCTTCTTCCCAGCATTCAGTTGTGTCTACCCCACCTATCTAAGTCTGCCCTAAAGGCCGGCCACGGCAGTTTTTTTATTCAACCAATAAAAGCAATACAAATACAGAAGGACCACCTACTGGTCCTACGCCACTGGGCATTTATAACTAAGAATAAGCCTGTGTGTGATTTGTTTGGGAGCTGGGTGGTGAGTCCCTCAAAAAGCCAAAAGAACAAAACATCCTACAACAGACAGTAGGCCGGGAGTTAAAGTACTGGAGGAGGAAAGGTTTAAGGAAAAGCTACTGCCCATACAAAGAAAATGACCTGAACAGAGAAAACAGAACATATTTCTAGTCCATGAAAAACGAATCTAAAAGGGAGGAGACATGGGAGGCTCTTCAGAGAGTGGATTTCCTTCTACCGGGAGCAAGTGCCCCTTACCTCTTCCTGGGCTGACAGCCGTGAGCACTGGCCTGTGGTCACTCATCTTCTCCTGCCTCTGCCTGTGACAAGCCGCCTCCAGTTCCTTCTTTGCCAGGAGCTTGCCAGATGGGTAGAAGAGGCCAGAGGTCTGTGTGCCCGTGTCCTTCTTAGACCCAATAGCAGGGCTGGGCAAAGAGACACTCAGGGACTGCCAGGCAGATCGGGGCTGTAAGCAACGGAGAATACACTTAAAGATCAGGACATAATTTAACTAGCCCATCTCTAGTCACAAAACACAATTTTAATCAGAATAGAAAACACCCAGAAGCTTTCTTTGAACTAAAGGTTTCTGTTGGGGTGTGTGTATGTTCTCGCCACCACTGCCTCGTCTTTCTCAGCAACTCCTACCTGATCCATGAAGGTAGCCCCTCCCCTTGGTCAGTTATTGTTCCAGGTTCAGCCAATTAACGGTGCCTTTTAATCTGCCTGGGGCCTGGAAGACATCAGCCTTCTCAGTTCTACAAGGAATGGAATACAGTCTTTACTGCACAACTACATTCAACCGCTGACTATTTCTTTGATGGACCTAAGAAAATCACCATGGAAGGCGGTGTGGGCTGCCTGGTGTCATTGTGGCTAAAGGGGCACCATTCACACGGCAGACAGTGCACATCTGCATATTTATTAGGATGAGTTTCCTGGCAGAGAGAAGAAAGAGCATCTACCATGGACAGTTCTAACAGACGGCAGGTGTTGTACGGAAAGAACACCTCCTTCTCACGCATCAAACGTGCAGATGGGCCTGGTGGCCCCACAAGTCTGCCTCTGAGTTAAGGCACCACGTGTCCTTCACAAGTGTACATGCTAGGGGCTCAGTGTGCATACAGTCTCTCATCTGTCTTCAGTTCCCATCAGTAAAGAGATGAGGTGGCATCTGAAGGTCTTTGTGCGGCTCAGAGAAGAGACTCGGAAGGCTAGCAGGCAGCTGGTTGCCCCGTGTGTGCGGCTGAGAATGACCACCAGCCAGCGCTTGTTGACAGCGGAAATCTCACACAGCGGATGTAACAGGACACGGAGGCAGGTTCTTGGCTTGCTACTGGAAAAATGCAAGAGCGGTTCATTCTGCCCCACACAGAGAAAGTTACTTCTCTCTGGGCACTCCACTGCCTCAGAGCTGCTATTAGACACAAATCTCTGTCGGAACAATGCAATTTTAGTTTCTTGACTTTTTTTTTTTTTATTTTGAGACTCTCTACCCTAGGCTATACTTGAACTTGGATATATAATTTTTGAAGAAATCATTCAGGAGTTTGAAACCTAAGTGGAATTTATGTGTAAAGTCTACGTATTCTGGTTCTGCTCTCCTGGACTGACCCACAGGGCAGGGCACACCAAGTCAGCCATTCTTCCCACCGTGCAGCACGCAGGCCTCCTTACCTCAGAAAATGGGCGTGATCCCCCAGCAACTAGGGCCAAGCTGTTCATTCTAAAGCGGGTTATGGACTTCACGTAAATACCGCAGGTGCCACAGAACCGGGCAGACAGATGATTGTTGGCCCCACATTTTGGGCACACAGAGTGGCTACCAGAAATGCCAAGCTAGGGAACAGAAATTTTTTATGGTTTAGAGTTTTGACTCACCCACATAAACTATTCTCATGCCATACTCTCTTATCATCAAGATGACATATGCTCCTGCCCTCTGCCCTAACATTCTACCTCCAGGCTTTCTCCGACACATGGACAAGCACTTCAAGAAATGTATCCCAGGCCATCTTTTCTAGTATTATAGGTGTTTAAAAATTTGTGCGTGCATGTGTGTGTGAGTGTGAGTGTGGGTATCACAGTGCCTGTATAGAGGTCAGAGGACAACACTGGAGGGCTGGCCGTTTCTTTCCATGGGGCGGATCCTGAGAATTGAATTCAAGTCTTCAGGTTTGGGGGAGGGTGCTTTCGCTCCCTGAGCCATCTTTCCAGCCCAGGAGTGGCAGTCCAGAGGAAATAAGTGTCCAGCAATGGGGCCCATGGCCTAAATAAACCACGGTGTGTGCATATAGAGTCTATATTATAGACAATGGCAGGTGAAGCTACAGGGAAGCAAGGCATAGTGCCAGGTGGAAAGAATGGTCAGTGAGCGCCAGTTCACTGGGGAACTGAGAGCACCTGGTTTATCTCGACAGTAGGCGTGCTTCTGAACAGGGGAGCTGCAGGCTGAGACGAAGGAGACAGCCATTCCCTCTTGTTACTTGCATGAAATACCAGATATACATAAACGGTCTGAATATTTTGATTAAAAACAGGCAAACTCCATTCACAGAAGAAATTTCAGTAATGAGTGGAAAGGGTTAACCTAAAAAAATGTAAATTAAATGTCAGGGAGAAGGGCTCTGAAACTATCGTTTCTACCTCCAAATTCTTGATACAGAAACCATAAGAAGGATCTCCTGCAAGGCCATGAGCAGACCTTAGCTCTCCATGGTGCCTGAGTAGCTCTGGCTGTCCTGGAGCTTGCTCTATAGACCAGGCTGGCCTCAAAGGCACAGAGATCTGCCTGCCTCTGTTTCCTGAGTGCTGGGATTAAAGGCATGCGCCCCTACCACCTGGTGGCGAGGCTGTATTTAAATCCCTACCGTGGCTCCACACCAGTCGCAGAAGGATGCCTCCCAGAGGTTCTGGCAGCCACACCTGGAGCAGGAAATGGTCTCCCCGTTCCGAGAGGGTGGACGAGAGACTTCGTTTCCACTGCACAGCCACTGCTGAATAAAGAAGTGTGGACAGGCAGGGTCAGAACTATGTTCTCCAGTCCTGCTTCATATCCAGACCAGGGGATAGAGCACCAAACAGCAGAAACTGGAAATAGAGTCCCCCCCACCCCGTGCTTTTTTTTTTTTTTTTTGACAAAAGGAGTAAAAGTATGATAGACTTCGCCAATTTTTGTTTGTTTTTGAGACAGAGTCTCTACATAGTCCTAGTTGTCCTGGAACTTGCTATGTAGATCAAGGTGGCCTGGAATTCACAGAGATTCACCTGTCTCTGCCTCTGAGTGCTGCGATTAAAGGTGTGTGTGAGACTAAGCCTGGCCCATATTCACCAAGCTTTAAGTTCATATTCCTTCCTGCAAATCGTAGGGAGTATGAAGAGTGGAGTCTCCTACATCTCCATACCCCTCCATATCATTGGCATCACAGGCCGAGCAAGCCTACTAGTATTAATAGAGCATTACTGGTAAGCCGAGCCGAGCCGAGCCACACAGGGCCATGACTCATCTTCTCCCCCCCTGCCCCAGGGAAATGTTGATTTATTCTCCAACCTGGGCATGGGAATGATAGGGTGAGGTAATGGCCACTTGTATTCTGCATTGTAAGACCACATTTGGTGGCTGGAAAGATGGCTCAGTGGTTAAGAGAACCTGTCCCTCTTTCTCAGGATCTGGGCTCCATTCCCAGCACCCATATGGGAGGTAGTTCACGACTGTCTGTAACTCCAGTTCCAGGGGATCTGACACTCTCTTCTGACCTCTGAGGGCACGAGACACAGACACAAGAGGTACAAAGAAGAAATACACGCAGTCCAAACACCCATATACTTAAAACAAATCATGTTGTAGGACAGAGCCTGCAGATCCACACTGAACGCAGTCCAGCATGAACACCTGACAGCTGCTAATAGTGTGCTTGTTCCGAGCTAGCTTTTGAGGAGGGGATCTTTAGACCTCATCACTGGGATATGGGAACTCTGACTACACAGAGACAACAACAAGGGGAAAGCACAGAGAGCAACAAGGAGAGAAGCACCGATGCCGCGGACCAGGGAGACAACCTTTGCAATGATCCGCTGCCTTTCTTCCGGTTCCCTGTAAAGGATGCTGGCTGGGGATGGATGGGGAAGGCAGACTGGGGGATGTTCCCTGGCTTTCCTGATTGCCAGCTCTCTAGGTAAATTATAGTTTCATAACTCAGTTCCTGTCTCTTGTTCCCGGGCTCTATTTATACAAGGAATTATTTTATTGTGGAGCGGGAAACGGCTGCTTCTTGAGTTTCTGACGCTGTTAGGCAGACCTGGGTTAGCATCTGGCTCCCGCTGCTTATTCACTATTGTGGAATGTGACAGCTTCTCACTTTCCCAATGGGGTGACGGTAGAACTGACATTTCTGTGTCTGTGCAGGAACTGTCCCAGGTACTGGCCTGCACCCTATGTCAGCTCACACGACCTGTGAGATAGGTGTCATCACTGGTCTTACAGCCTGCTGTCCAGGATTTCACAGTCTCTCGGCAGCATCCTCACAGGTCTATAGTGGGTTTAGGTGAATGCCAAGTGAGTACAAAGGAACGCTCAGCACAGGGTCAAGTTCTCTTCCTCAAGCTTGTCTCTCTTTGGATTCCTTTCTTTATTTTGTTAAAAATAAAGTCACTGAAATTTTGAAAGGATTTTCCTGAATCTGTAGACTGCTTTGGAAACTGCAGATATTTTATTTATGCTAATTCTTCCGATGCCTGGACATGGGATAACCTTCCACTTATTCCTGTCTTCAATTTCATTTTCCTTCTGTTTTCTCTTTTGTCTTTTGAGACAGTCTTGCTGTCTGAGGTTGTGTAGAGAACAGCAGCAGTCTGAGGTTCAATAGAGGTACAAAGAGCTCTCTAGTGGCTAACTGCTCTGCTTCTGTGATCTCTCAGCTTTTACCCCTGAATAACTGACTCTGGGTTTTTTATTAATACCAATTAGAATCCATGCTACAATTATCCTGCCTCAACCCTGGCGCTGGGATTATAGGCCTATTACCATGCTCAGTTTTTCTTTAATTAACACTCTAAACTTTTCATTTTTATCTTTGTCTGCTTACTACCTCTTCTTCAAAATTTGCTAGAAGGAATAGAAAGACAAAAACAAGCCAACAAAACCAGCAAAGGTATCTGCAGCATCCTTCTGAGATTTAACTGGTACTCACTGAATGCTGCACCTATCAATGACAGAAAACTCACACTGCGCAGGTGTACCAGGATGTTTCCAAGTTAGAGCATATGATGGGCCACGGAATAAATCATATTAGAGTAACGAACCACACAAAGCATGTGCACTAGCCATAAGAGTTAATTATTGGTGGCTGGTGGGGTGGCACATGACTTTAATCCTAGTACCGGGAAGGCAGAGGACGGCTAATATTTGACTTTTAGGCCAGCCTAGTCTACAGAGAGAGTTCCAGGACTGCCAGGCTACACAGTGAAACCCTGTCTTGAAAAAAAAACAAAAAACAAAAAAGAGTTAACTTTTAAGTCACCACTGCTAACAATGAGGAAAAGACCATATATTTGGAAACGAAGCAAACAACTAATAAGTCTTAGACTAAAGAAGAAATCCCAGGAAAATGGACAGTATTTTTAAAGGTATTATCGTGAAAACACAATATATACACTTATAATTACAGCATGCTGCCAAAGAAGATCTTCAGAATTTTACATTTCGTGTTGGAACGAGGAAAGAAATTTAAAGTCAGTGGTCTGAGTTCTTATTTCAGGAAATTAGAGTTGGCTCAGCAGGTAAAGGCGCGTGCTGCAAGCCTAACAACCCGGGTTTGATTCCCAGGACCCACATGGTAGAAGAAGAAAACCTGTCCTCTGACCTTATGTGCATATGTGTGCACACACAAAAAATAGAAAATCTGAAGAAAAAATAAGGCCAGGAATAGTGGCACACACCTTTAATTCGAGTAATTAGGAAGCAGAGGCAGGCAGGTCTTTGTGAGCCTGGTCAGTATAGTAAGTTCCAGGCCAGCCAGCATTACATAGTAAGACAGAAAGAAGAAAGGAAGGAAGAAAGGAAGAAAAGAAGAATATAAGGAAGGAAAAAAAGAGAGAGTGATAAAGAAAGAAAATTCAAAAATAAGTGAATAAATAAATAAAAAGGAATCTGAAAAAAGAGGACCAAATTAAAGCAAAGAGAAAGAAATTAAAAAACAAATAAAAACTAGGATGTAGAATTTGAAGACCTTGAAAAGGTCATAAAATTCACACATCTCTGACACGATGGCGGAGGGGACAGGACAACCATATTACCAAGCATAAGAGAAGCATGTAAACATAGATCCTACAGACAAACAGGCGACATCATACGGTTAAAATATGGTAACATCTGTGCTGGTGAAAGAAACAAGATTAAAGACAGAAGTAAGTGGAAGATTATCCTATGTTCAGGCTTCAGAAGAATTAACATAGATAAAATGTCTGCAGTGGGGGTCAGAGGATAATCTGGGGAGTCAATTCTCTTCTTCCACTGTGAAGTCTATGGAACTCAGGTTGCCAAGCTTTTGAGGCAAGCGCTTTCACCTGCTGAGCCCTAGTCTGTGGTTTCATAACCATCTTTCTCCTCCCACTGCATGTCTTACTTCTCTAGTAACATCAGCACCCAGCACTTGGTGACCACCAAAGACAGGGACATTCACATTCAGCCCACCTACCTCTTGTGCTCCAGGGAGGGTCCCCTCACAGGTGACACAGTATCTCAGCTGAACAGGATTCCCGGTGCCACAGGTGCGACAGATCACCTTCTCCTTGCCAACAGGGAATCAGAAACAGGATGAGCAATGACAGGGTGGAGGGCCCGGCAGTGTTACAGCATCCAGTCAGGAATACTGCATTGGGCTGGGATTACTGCAACAGTGCCAGGCGAGTGAACACAGTTTTAAAGGAGACAAAACTGCAAGCAAGCAAACAAACCCAAGACAGCATTCATTTACTTTGAGGAAGACAATTTGAAATTTTAGGATGGTGATGTTCCCGTCTCCAATGTGGGAAAGCTGACAGCCAACAGGCTTTCTGTTCATGGCCTATACTATAAGGAGAAAGACTTGAGGCCAGCAGAAGCTTGTCTGTGGACTTACAAGTCTGTTGGGTCCTGCAGCTTTATGCTACCTATGAATTTAGGCTTCTTCTGTAGGTTATGATTTAGTTAGAAGTGGAAGAAATGGTTGTCAGAAGAAAACATTAATGTAACTTCCCAATCAGTCCGAGAGTCAAGATGCAACACAGAAACAGAGGAGACGACAGAACTGGACAGGGCTAGGAATGAGAAGGAAGTGCAGAGGAAACGAAGGAGGCCGGGACGCTGTGACTGTTAATAAGGTTGGTACAGTTAAGGAGAAACCTCACATTTTGCCCTGGATTAGGAAACTGCCTACAGGGTAAGGCTCTACCCATAGAAGGTTCTAGTTTGTAAAATGCAAACTGATTAGTAAGAACTACCACAACTGCTTAGGCCAGTGCTTGCAGGTCCAGCCACCGAGGAGCACAGAGGCTGGCAAGCATGGAAGAAGTGGGCCAAAGTTTATCTGGAGCTGGCAGTAAAATTTAAGAGCACCAGCCACAAGGTACTGGTTTTGCAGCCACGAAAGATGCGATGCTGAGGGCATCATTGAGGCTTGCATCAAAGGTCCTGAAAGCTGTTGAGGCCAGGCAGTGGGTGATGGGGTCAGATTCCCTAAAAGAGGCCCCGAGGAGCCACTGCATGAGGCTGGGAAGGTGAAGCGTAAACTGCATTGGAGATGCCAGGGCATGAATAATTCTACCCACTCTTTCTACAAAACAGGAAGCCACCATCAAACAGAACACGAAACCACTTCCAGGGAATAATTATAAGTCAGTATTAGTAGCAATAATTAATCAAAACACTGTCTAAATTAGCTATATTGCAGTTTGTCCTCAAAATTCATTTTTGGGGCATGTGTATAGGCATCTCCCTTACAGATCCTTTGGATCGGTACACCTTCCTAAAAGTGGGAATGGGTTTGCTCACGACACTTTATCCATCACTAGTCCACTCCTCCAGCTGAAGACAGACACACAATGACTCAGACACCACTGTCTGCGTTTTGACAGACTCACACTCCCCTACCTTCAGGTGGAGGCTGGCCTGGGGGCGCAGCTGTGGAGCAAGAGGAGCCTCGCACACCACACAGATGGGGGTGTTCATGGGTACCACGCTTCCACACTCTGTGCACAGGCCCATCTGCTCAAAGGAAAAGGCCAGGGTTGACTGCGAGGTAAAGGCTGACAGGACTTAGTTCATAAGGTTTGACTTGCTTCTGTAAACATTTAAAATAATTACCTTTCCTCCTATTTTATTGCCATTAAGAGTAAAAACAACAACAAAAGAAAACTGCTTTACTCTAGAACGAGAACTGTAAGCCGCTGGTAAGCAACAGACTGAAAGTTCCTGAAAATACCCATTTGCACAAGAGTATGGTGGCTCTTACAGGCTGCTCTCCTCCTCCCTGCTCTGGGCAGCAGCTCCTCCGGGGCAGGGCAGGCTGGGAACAGTAGCACTTCTGTGACTGCCGCTGTATAAGGTCTTCCTTACTTGAAACATTGCCGAGATGACAATCTCAGTGGCAAACAAAGAGGACCAGGGGCTCATGGTAATCAACAGACAGGCGAAGTGCCCAAGGATTTTTTATTTGTTGCTATTATTTTGATTATTGTTTCGAATAGATTGATTTGCTTTTATTATGATTCCCATTTTAACTTTTGAAAAATACTCTGTGTGTGTGTATGTGTGTGTTGGGACAGAGAGGGTTGGGAATGACATAGGTGTAGTAGTGATCATGTATGAAATTCTCGAAAAAAAAATCAAACTATGTGTGTGTGTTCATACATGTGCAAGAGCACATATATGTACAGGTTTGCGTGTGTGCAGGCCAGAAGATAGCCTCAGGTGTCATCATCAGGAATGCTGTCCATCTCCCTTGACACAGGGTTTCTCATTACCAATTATGCTAAGCCTGAAGTCTGGCTAGTGAGCTAGGTGTTGAGGACTGACCTCGCCTGTGTGCTTTCAAGTTAACAGCGCTTTACTGATGGAGACATTCTCCCAGCACCAAGCCCAGGAACTGTCTCAATAAGCTCTCAGTTCTCCCAAGCAGCCACACATCTCTACTTGCATGTGTAGATGAAAAAGAGCTCAATATAAGTAAAAAGTGCCGGGCGGTGGTGGTGCACACCTTTGATCTCAGTACTCAGCAGGCAGAGGCAGGAGGATTTCTGTGAGTTCAAGACCAGCCTGGTCTACAGAGTGAATTCCAGGACAGCCATGACTACACACAGAAACCCTGTATCAAAAAACAAAACAAATTAATTTAAAAAAAAGTAAAAGCTTAGGCTGACTTGAAAACAATCTTAAGTTTTATATTCGGTCCAGCCCACACCAACATCTATCAGCAAAGTCTTTACTAGCTTGAGGTACTTGAGCGCAGTTTTGGGCCAACCTTGTCCCATTAAAACAGTAACATTTCAGCCGGTTTCTGTCTGTCTTCTCCAAGGCCACACTAAAGAAATCCTGTTAGAAGTATGTTGTCTATTCTCAAGAAGGATCTGGATAGCAAGAGATCAATGCCCTCAAAATTCTTTCAATGAACGTTTATGTTTGTGGCTCATGTGACAGGCCCAGGTCATGGATACCCACACAGGTCACATAAACCAGAAACCAATGTTTTCAAACACTCCGAAGCTTACCTGAGCCGCTTCTGGGGGTGGAAGACGATAGCCAAATATGGGTGGAACAGGAGCCCCACATTCATGACAGAAGCGAGCAAAGGGATCAGATGGACGGGAGGCCAGACAGTGGGCACACCTACAGCAAAACAGGTCCCATTTATCCATAGGGGTCTACAGGAACATTCTTACATATCTAATGTATGGGAGAGGGTGTGTGAGCTCCTGCTTCCCAAAGGACCACTGGCGGTAAAAGGTTGTTTGGGGGGGGAGCATCTTTATCGGTGATATGCCTACTGAACAGCAGCCCATGCTCATGAAAGCAACCCTAATTAAATTCAGCCACACACGCATAAACTCATGCACTCACACGACATGAAAGTTGAAGGGGAAATTCTTAAGAAGAGTCAAGTGTGTGTGTGTATTTCTAAACACCTTCATTAGAATGCAGAGATTGTCTAATATAATTTTTTAAAGATTTATTTATTTATTATGTATACAACATTCCTTCCATGTATGTTTGTATGCCAGAAGAGGGCACTAGATCTCATTATAGATGGTTGTGAGCCACCATGTGGTTGCTGGGAATTGAACTCAGGACCTTTGGAGGAGCAGGCAATGCTCTTAACCACTGAGCCATCTCTCCAGCCCCCTAATATAATTTTTTGAAAGTAAGACATAGCTATATTTTGCTTTAAAAAAATCAACATTAAGTAGAGGAACAAAAGTAAATTATAAAATACAATATGTCACATAGATATTAGCTAGAAGAAGGCAGGAGTGGCTACTTATTATTAGAGCAAACAGCATCTGGGCAAAGGAAGTCGTCAGGGTTAAAGAAGGTCATTTCACAGTGCCATAGGAGTGAACTCAACAACAGGACATAAACATTCAAACAATGCCATATTTAAGAGCAGTTTTAAGAAGTCTTTTAAAACTATAAATTGCATCTTGCATTCTGAGATGGTCATGAGCTTTGGGGCCAGGAGTGAAATGTTATGACTTGGATCTGTAATGCCCGCACAGCCCTTAGGCCTTTCCTATGTCATTTGAAGGTTGTGGTGCCTGTTTGGTGAGACATGTTACCAGAGAATGGACTCTGAAGGTTATACCCATCCCTGGTTCAGTCCAGGAGCTTTCTGCTTCTTGCTTGCCAAGTTGTGAATAAGCTGAGAGGGTCTTACTGTGTTTCCTAAGCTAACCTAGAACTTACTATATAGGCCAGGTTAGCCCAGAACTTGTGATCTTCCTACCTCAGCATCCTTAAGGTTGGCATTACAGGCATGTGTCACATGTGAAAACCTGTGAAGTTTTCCATAAATATGACAAACTAAGAATTAAATATGACCAAGTGGTGGTGGCAAACACCTTTAATCACTGCACTTAGGAGGCAGAGGCAGGTAGATCTCTGATTTTTGAGACCAGCCTGATCTACAGAGTGAGTTCCATGACAGCCAGGGATACACATAAGAGAAGGCCTGTCTCAAAAAACCAGAAAAAAAAGAATTAACTATAAAAGAAAACCAAGTACATTAGACTCCATCAAATTGCAGAGCTCAAAATTAGAAAGTATTTGTAAAACATCTGACAAGGGAGAACTTTTATAACCTAATAATAATAATAAATATAATATATAACAACTTTAAATTTCAATAGATTATTTACCAAAAATTTATACATGACAAGTAAGTACATAAAAGATGCCTACTACTAATCACTAGGGAAATATAAATTAGAATCACAGTGATCTACCACTATAATCGCAGTCTCACTAAATGCCCCAAAATACAAATTGTTGGTAAAGATATAAAAACTGGAATTCTGGAGAGCAAGGAAAGAGATATTTTGATTGAGGGAGCCATTATAGGGTGAGCAAGAAGCCTGACTCTAGAGAAATTGCCAGGAATCCACAAGGATGACCCCAGCTAAGACCCTAAGTGATAGAGAAGAGGGGACCCAACCATGACTTGCCCTGTAGTCAGATTGATGAATATCTTAAATTTCACTATAGAACCTTCATCCAGCAACTGATGGAAACAGAGGCAGAAACCCACATTAGAGCACTGGGCTGAGCTCCCAAAGTCTAGTTGAAGAGTGGGAGGAGTGAGAATATGAGCAAAGAGGTCAAGACCATGATGGGGACACCCACTGAAACAGTCTACCTGAGCTAATGGGAGCTCACCAACACCAGCTGGAATGGGAAGGAACAAGCATAGGATCAAACTAGTTCCTCTGATTGTGGTTGACATGGCTGGGAGAGACTGAAGGGCCACTGACAGTCACACCAGGATTTATCCCTACTGCATATACTAGCTTTTTTTTTTTAAGGAACCTATTCTCTTTGGATGTATTACCTTGCTCAGCCTAGATAAAGGGGTGGGGAGGGCTGGACCTTCCCCAAAGCAATATGTCTTACCCTCTCTGAGAATTAGATGGGGGTGGGATGGGAGGGTATGTGGAGAGAATGGAAGGAGAGGAAGGAGTGGGAACTTGGATTGGTATGTATAATGAAAAAAGATAGTTTGTTTTCTTTCTTAAAAAATAAATTAAAAAGGAAAAAAACTGGAATTCTGTAACACTGCCGAGTGAATATAAGTGATACACCTCCTTTGGAAACAACTGGCTAATTTCTTAAAAAGCTGCGAAGATAAATCACCCATCATAAGACCCAGTCATTTTCCTTCCCGATATCCACCATATAGGACATGGAGGTCAATGTACATACAGTGGCGTGTGTATAAACATTCACATTAGTTTTACAATTTGACTTGTTAGCCAGACACCAGGAGGAGCATGTGCTCTCACAAGTGAGTGGGTAAGCAAACTGTGGGGTACCCATGGCACTGAAGCAACAATAAACAGAACACTTGGCAATAAAACGAATAGACCTTTGATGTCAGCCACCTGTGTGAATCTCAGAACAATTATGCTGAAATCGGTAAGGCCTGGGGAGCGGGTAAAGCGTGTGTGTTGATTTAATCCATTACCTATGGAGGCAATGCAAACCAGAGTGACAAGAGCCGTATCCACAGCTGACTGGATGGGGCAGGATAAGAAGGGTCAATGTCGGGATGAACTTGTTCATCTCTGTGATTGTAGTGTTAGCTTCATATACATGTGTCAATCACACTGTTGACAGATACACATTTTAGGGTATGTCAGTTACACTCTTTTTTCTTTTAAATTTTTTTCTGTTTTATTTTCTATGTATGGACGTTTTGCCTGCAATATATGCCCATGCACACAGAGGACAGAAGAGGGTGTCAGATCCCCTGGGACCGGAGTTACTGACAGTTGTGAGCCACTATGTGGGTGCTGGGAATTCAACCAGCTCCTCTGGAAGAGAAATCAGTTAGTGCTCCTAACCACTTAGCCATCTCTCCAGCCCTGGCCTCCTTTCTTTAACTATGTGTTTTTAAACTATAATCTTTTTCTAGGTATGGTAAATACCAAAACTTAGGAGTCCCAGGCAAGAAACTGTTTCAAGTTTGAGGGCAAACTGGACTGTATAGGAAGTGCCAGGTCAGGCCTACAAGGCAAGTCCCTGTCTCAACAAATTTAATTTAAAAACTAGGGATGGGCAAATCCAGTGTTATATTTCATTTTAAATCCCTGTGGATCGTGTGTGACTTTGATCTAAGACAGGCAGAAAACATGTTACGTACTTGAGGAAGTCCGTGTCCCTCTGGATCCGTGCGACCTCAGTGCTTGTCAGACTCTTCTGGCCAGTGATGTGTGCAAAGCCAGGGGACTGAAAGGAAGAACACAGACAGAGTTGGGAGCAGACATACAGGTTGTATGAAGGGTAAGGAAAAGCCATTCAAATTCATCTGCCAGAGTTCACGTTTTAAAACTATCACAGGGAAACCAGGCAGTGGTGGCTCACACCTTAAATCCCAACACTCGGGAGGTAGAGGCAGGCGGATCTCTGTGAGTTCAGGACAGCCAAGGACAATACAGAGAAATCATGGCTTCAAAAACAAAAAACAAAACCACAAAAAATATATCTGAATTTACTATTAGACAGATTATATTTTAAAATTTAAATTTAAAATTATATTTTAAAAGTTAGGATGTTAAAGATAATATTTCTAGAAAACTTAAAAGGGCTCACTTATATACATAGTTTATTTAAATTAATTTCTGTGTTCAGTGCGGAAAAAGGGTAAAACAAACAGAATTTCACGTGGTCCCTGTCCCTAAAGCACATCCCTCGTATCTGTACAATATAATTGAAATCTTATAACAGACTTGTGCTGTGGTCCCTGGGAGCTGAGAAGAGAGAATATTCACATTTGCAGGCTCCACAGGAGGTGTGCTAACAATCAAGGTGGGCAGGGAAAGCAGAGGAAAGTGTGTGAAGTAGACAGGAAACAAAGGGACACACACAGGTACCACTGGAGGGCAGCACATGGTTCATCCTGGGATACCTATGGCTGGATGTGGTCTACAGAAGGGAACAGAGAGAAGCCTGGGAAAGAAAGATGAAGGGGAGAAGCCAGCCGTATTACTACTGATAATGAAATGCACTGGCTACTGTAGCCATTATCTCTTGACATTCACAATCACCCTATGAGTTTACCATTTTATTGTACATTTGTTATATTATTTTGAGACAGTCTTGCTATGTAACCCAATTGGCCTTGTTTTTCTCCTGCCTCAGTCTCCTGAAACCAGGGATTAAAGAAATGAACCACCACACTGAGCATATAGCATCTTATTTTGATATACAAGACTTTCAAAAAAGTTATCAAAATAGCAAAACTAACTCCTGTTTCTTTAGCTTAAACAATTGCTTATGGCAACATTTTCCTATATATGTCTTTATTCTCTTTGAGTCACATGAGGCTAAACTGTAGGCATGATAAGCCTTAGCCCCTAAGTAGCTGAGTATGAATTTCCCAGGAACAACCATGTGCCAAAGTCAGAAGAATGAAGGGTTATGATCTTATCTAATCCACATATCTGCTTTTAGAGCCTGCCAGTTATGACAATGGTGTCCTTCTGTAATTTTTTCCTGGTCTAGAGTTTGATCCAGTACCACACTTTCCTCTATTTGCCATGTCCTCTTTGTCACTTCTAATTTGAAGTGGTTCCTCAGTCTCTCTTCAACTTTCTTGCCTTGAACATTTTAAAAGAGCAAAATGCCAGTCAGGTCCAGTGGTGTGTGCCTGAAATCCCAGCACCCAAGATTCAGAACCTATCACCTGTGCTACCTCAATGTATACAACAATTAAAAAATGGGCCATGGTTTGGAGACAAGTTGGGGAGAGGTGATGCCACATGAGAAGGGGTAGAGAGAGGAAAAGGAAGGGGGAGTGATGTAATTATATTTTAATTAAAAATTATAGGCAGATGCAGAAGGATTGCTATAAATTTGAGGCCAGCCTCGTCTACATATTTTCAGACCAGCCAGGGCTGTATTATGAGATTACTTCTAAAAACATAGCAAACTAACATGGCTGTTAACTCACAGAAATTTGTAGCATATGGCATTGACACCGAACTTGTGTTTGTCTAACGTTCCCGTAAGCAGACTCAGGCATGAATTTTGGTACACACTCCAGAGGCAGGGTGCTGTCAATGCAGCATGTGAGGGGCTACAATACTCATTTCTGAGAAGGACGCAGAAGCCTGAAAACCCATTTGGCTTGAGCTCACGGCAACAGTAAGGGCACTAAATCTTAGGATTTCAGACTTAATTCTGTAGACCACGGGGAGCAGTCAGAGTGATTTTGTTAAGGACGAAGTATAATGTTCAAGCCTTTGTGTCACCTCACACGTGGCCTGCAGCAGAAGTCATGAACTGGCCTTCTATTGGCCAAGTATTGCGAGTCACTGAATTTCATTTTGCCTACGTTACATATATTGCCTCCCATACTGGTTCAGGTTCCAGATAGACTCTCAGATTTCAAACTATGTTGGCAGACAGGAAGATGTAAGTTTGGTGGCGAATTCATCAGGTGGCAATACTGAACCGGTCGTCCTTGCCAATGACTGTCTACAGATGAGAATGGGCCCTCTGGGTGGCTCTGCCATTCCAGATCATCACGGAACCCACAAACTTGGACCCTGAAGGACGGATGAGTCCAAGGCAGACTGGCCCCATGCTCTCTCTGTGAGTCTCTGTTCAGGGCTGCCATGAGGGCTGAGAGTACGCGTTTCAAATGGACTCCTGTGTGATTACGGTGCGGCGGGATGGGGAGCCCACTTTGAGAACTACCATGCTATCTCATCACACAGTTTATCTTGTGGATGACACCACTGACTAAAAATTTCTGTACAGATCCAGGCAGAGTTGGAGCACACCTTTAATCACAGCACTCGGGGAGGCAAAAGGGCAAAAGTCGGGCAAATCTCTGAGTTCAAGGACAGTCTGGTCTACAGACAGAGCTCCAGGGCAGTCAGGGCTACTCAGAAAAACCCCGTCTTCAAAAGCAAAATAAATAAATAAACAAATAAAAAGTTGGTGTGACTAGTTACTTGATTACTGTTTATCTGTTACAAGTCCCTGTCAAGCCGGGTGTGGTGGCGCACGCCTTTAATCCCAGCACTCGGGAGGCAGAGGCAGGCGTATCTTTGTGAGTTCGAGACCAGCCTGGTTTACAGAGCTAGTGCCAGGACAGGCTTCAAAGCCACAGAGAAACCCTGTCTCGAAAAACAAAAACAAACAAACAAAAAAAAACAAGTCCCTGTCAAAGGCCTTTCCCTTTGGATACAGTGCTTCCAAGCTGGGAACTGCCCGCAAAATGAAAGGCTGTCCCGCAACACGACTAAAGGCTGAAAGACGCTGTCCCTAACGTGTGCTGGGAAGCGTTAAAATGCCCGAGGTGTTTCGGCTACCCTAAAGAATTTCCACTGCTGTTACCTGGGATGGATGAGCAGCTATCCTAGTAGCAGACGCATCATGGTAGGTGGGGGGCATTTCCAGCGGACCCTCAGCGAAGCGAAGATCTTTCAGAGTTTTAGCGTCTGCTCTTTCACCTACTTTGAGGTCTAGAATTACATTAAAAATATTGTTTTGTGATTATCTGTTACCATATAAAACCATGTACATATGCCCCCATGGCTAGAAACCTCCAGTAAAGGAATACATCACATTTCTTCCCAGTGCCAACCACTATAAAGTCGCCCTCCCCAAGTCAGCGAAGCAAAACGGAGAAATAATTAACCCAGTCTAAGAAAATAACCTTCCTCAATACCTTCTGCAACATTCCATGTTGAGCTAAAAAAAAAAAAAAACAAAAAAACAAAAACCAGACCAGTCCAACTACAAAGTTAGCAGGTAACATTATTTCAACTAAAAAGGAAAAAAAAAATCTGTGACAGTCTCTTCTTTGCAAGGTTATTGCTTTCTTACTTGGTCTCTTTGTTGCTGTTATTTTAGAAAATAAACAAACAAAAACCTCAACATTCTGAGTTTGGTCCTGGGAACCTATGTGTAATGAGACAACTGATTCCCAAAAATGGTTCCCTGTGGCACACGTGCACCCCCCACACAAACAATAACAACAACAATACTGTTGGGAGTTTTTGTTTATTTGTTTTCTAAAAACAACAACAACAATAAAGTGACTGGGTCTTTTAGGAAAAGTTGAGGTCTTAGTTACGTGACTTCAGACAGCAAAGTTTCTGGACTTCTGGGTAAGTAAGCAATAGCCATGCAAAGAAGAGGCTGCCATGATTTTTTTTTCTTTTTAGTTGAAATGATATTACCTGTTAACTTTGTAATAGCACTGGTCTGTTTTCTTAGCTTGGCATGGAACATTGTAGATGGTATCAAGGAAGGCTATCTTCTTAGACTGGGTTAATTATTTCTCAGTTCTATTCACTGACTTGGGGAGGTGACTTTAGAGCAGTCGCTGCTGGAAAGAATGTGATGTAATCCTTTCCTGGAGGCTTCTAGCCATGGGGGCATATTTGCACGCCAAATGCTTTTCCCTGATAAGCTATTTTGCAGGTCCCCAAGACATAAAAAGGCAGGCTCATTTTCTAACCACAGGCTGAACACATCCTACACGTACCTTCACAGTTTCCAAGGTAACCAAACCTGAATCCACATTTATGCTGGTCCTTCTCGTGCAGCTCAGTTTTACTCAATGCTAGCAAAACTCAGTTTCTGTTTAAAATTTATCTTAACACCCCCTCTTTCTAAACCTGATGATCCTTTCTTTGTTAGGTGAGCCCCCCCTGGTTCCTTCAATACAATCATTCAATAAATCAAATTTGTCCGACTGCTTGCTTATCTCTCATGGTCAAATTGTAGCCTGCCTTCCTGTTTTTCTTGTTTCAACACAAGTTCAGAAGAAGCACATAGTGAGCATGCAGGAAGCCTGCTTAGGTTCCCTTCTTCCTCATCGTACCTGCAAGCCGTCTAAGGTTAACGTTCCAAGTTGACTTGTTTTCAGCATTCTTATACTTCTTCCTTAATTTTGGTCCGACAAACCCATTTTTTAATTCCTAGGAATAAAGAGATTACACGGCACTTGATTACACAGCCTTAGAGTGTGAGAATCAAAAGTTGTGGTACAGACAGTGTCATGGTGGGCACTTCTCACTTGTGAGGGATGAGGGTAGTTTTTATAAAGTGATGCCCGTTTTTGCTGGAAACCCACAGTTTCAAGTCTGGCTGGAAGGCCTCACCAGGTCAAGCAGCCAAGATAGCAGACATGGATAGTGTCATTATTAGAGACAGTAATAGCATAAGAAAAGAATCAGAGGGGAAAATAGGATGGGGTCAGACCCAAAATGACAGGCCTTATACACACTACCTGCCCAGACAGTCATCCGAAGACTCTTCTCCTCAGCCTTTCTTTGTTGCGGACTCCGTCCCTTCTACCTGACTTGGGCCTGAGTCCTGATGACTGTCCCTGCATCGGTCACACTAGAGACCACCCCCACTAATCCACTTGCAGCCACTCTGGTCCCACAACACGCGCTTTGGTCTCAGGGCTACCACCTAGCTTTATAAGTAACAGCCCCACAAACCTTCTCTGTCACTCTCTACAAGTACCCCACGACTGAGACCTCCTGGTTGGGTGGCCACTGTCTGGCCCTCTTACCTGGACCACTGGTGCTATAACCCAGGGCTGAAGTTTCAAACACCCTTCTTATGCCTACCAGATTAACTCTCTACAGAAGGGAAGAATTATAGTTTTCCCCAGGAGAAGACGTTAACAGATGGGTCTACTTAGCCTGACTATTCCATTCACCTAATATGCACTCATTGCCCTCCCTTGCCTGCCCCTGAGCTCTGCGAAGAGTACCACACCCCTGCTTACTGCCTGCCACCTTGGAGCTTGCAAACCGGAAAGGCTGACGAGAAACCAAGAAAACATATGCTCAGGTCACTTTCCCCAGCCAAGGCCTGGTGCAGGGACGGAGAAGAGAGCAAACAGCTTGTTTATCTGGAGTTTATGCAGCCTTCACAGACAGGGCAGGCAGGGTGGAAGGGGCGGCATGCTAAATGGTTTCTGCTTTGTCACAGATAGTCGCTGCAGACAACAGCACAGGCAGTGACAGGACCCAGTCAGAATCCCAATCTTAGAGAGGAAGGTTTGACCAAGGCGGGGAAATCAGTGAAGGTTCTTCACAATGGTTGATCCTGACCTTAATCATGAGGATTTATCTGACTGTGAGTAGAGGCGCTGTAAAGAAAGGAGGGTGTCCCCACTGAGCAAGAAAGGATGAAACACAGTGACAGTTGGAACATTCTTTGGCTTCATTACTTGCCTGCTTTGAAAAGCCTTCAACACTCTCTTCAGGGGAGACAATCTTCGGGGGCTCATAGTCAACCTGAAACACCTTTGTCACAATTCCACTTTGTCTGCAGTCTCTGAAAATCAAATTTTTAAAAAGGAGAGAGTATCTTACACAAACGTTCCAGGTGAAGAGTCCAAGAATAAGAAAATAAAAATGTAGATTCCCAAAATAAGAATGTAAAAATAAATATACAGTTGTAAGTCTAGGAGAATGAGGACAGACTGTCAGCAGCTTTCTCAGCAGCTTGAGGATTAACTATTAAGTGGGTTATTTTGCTTTACAACCCATAGCTCTATTTACAAGGCCAAAGCATCTCTCTACAAACTGAGAGCTATCCAGTCAACTTTTAGGAAACAGATACATGACATCATCCCTGCTATGTGAAACTGGCAGCATCAAAGGGGAGAGCACAGGGCTTCAGTAAACACCACCTGCAAGTACCAGGGAAGACAACAGATTAAGTACAAACACAAGTTTTTAACTAAAAAAAACTCTGCTAATGAAGATTGTAAAGTAAGGCCATCTGTATCTGAGTTTTACCTTGAGATTGAACAAATTCCTTTGTTCAGACCTATACGTGGTGTCCCTACTATAAAAAGGTGGGTTCAGAAACTGGCCTCTGCCACAGTCTTACACAAACCATCTCTGGCTGTGGTCTCAGCTAGCTGATAAGCTTCTTGTGCCCCATGGAGACTTTTTATTTTATTTTTTCCTGGGTTCTGGTTTCTGTAATAAAGTTTGCTTCTGGTTTATTAGACTTCGGTGGTCTGTCCCCATCTTTGTGCACCCCCAGGTGGCTAGCAGTCAAGATGATGCTTAAGTTATTTAATGTAGCCGCTAAGGTTGTTACCTTTTAAGTTGGAAAAATTAAAATATACTTTCAGCTAAGGAGGCCGTGAGAGGTGAGGGTTAGGGGCGAAGGGCAGGGTGGATTCGGTCTTCAGCAGTGATTCTGGAACTCTAGACCCTGCCCCAGCCCGGTGCTGTTCACAGAGCCTTAGGCCAGTGTGCAGCACTCCTTCCTACCCTGCCTGCCTCGAATCCTGGCCTCAGCGGCACGGAGCCCAAGCTCAGGAAAGTGGTTGGCATCTCTTGTATCTTTTTTCTAGGTCTGCTCTGGATCTTCAAAAACATTCCTGGAAAGCCAGGCATAGAGGCAGATCACTGCAAGTTCAAGAGCACCGGCTGCTCTTCCAAAGGACTTGAATTAAATTCCAAGCACCCATATGGTGATCTACAACTGTCTACAAAAGCAGTTCCAGGGGATCTGACTCCCTCCTCTGGCCTCCAGGGGCACTGTATGAATGTGGTAAACAGGCAAAAGACTCATGCACATAAAATAAAAATAAATCAAAAGGTTTTTTGTTTGTTTGTTTGTTTGTTTTGAGACTGGGTTTCTCTTTTTAACAGTCCTAGCTGTCCTGGAACTTGCTCTTTAGACCAGTCTGGCCTTGAACTCACAGAGATCACCCTGCTTCTGCCTCCCCAAGTGCGGGGATTAAAGGTACATGACATCACTACTGTCTCAAAAGTAATTTTAAAAAATAAATAAACACAATCTATACTGTGAGGCTTCAAACAAAAGATAGTTTATCAATAAAAGGCCAACAGAAATCTCTGATAGAAAGGCCAAAGTGGTTTCCTTAAAGGATCACAGTTGTTTTTAAAATGGACCAGCTATGAAGCATCTTCTTTGTAATGATCTCCGGTCATTTTCTCTGAGACCAGAATTCTGGGCAGACAGCTTAGATATTTATCTGACACAAAACACACACTATTTATATTCAAAATGTACTTAAGTATTTATATTTAAAATGTTTAATGATCTCATTCTAAAGTTCATTTTTAAAAGTAAAGCAGCTTTCATTTCTATTGTTGTAGTTTTAATAATACAGATAAAGACAAGGTTTGTGTGGGTGGACACCCAGCACTTGCGATCCTAGGGCCTCAAGCATTTAGCACCATGGATTTGACAGCTCTTGTGTTCTGCTTTAGCTCCCTACAGCTGTGATAAAACTCCAAGACCAAAACAACCTGGGGGAGGAATGAGTTCATTTGGCTTACAGCTTACATCCATCACTGAGGGAATCCAGGGCTGGAACTCAAGTCAGAAACCTAAAGGCAAGAATTAAAGCAGACTGTGGAGGAGCGCTGCCTACTGGCTTGCTTCCCACAGCATGTTCAGCCATCCTTCTCATACAATCAAGGACCACAGTTCAGGGGTGATACCGCCCACAGAGGGCTGGGCCCTCACATATCTAGACTTGCCTTCAGGTTAGTATGATGGCGTTACTTTCTCAGTCAAGTTTTCCTCTTCCCAGATGACTCTAGCTATGTCAAGTTCACACACAAACACACACAGACACACACACCCCTCAAAACTAATCAGCACAAATAATATAAATACAAGGCTCGTGCCAGTGGATACTCCACACTTGGAATTCTTGGGTCTCTAGCATTCAGTGCCATGGATTTGACTACTGTTTGCTTTAATGAAAGGCTCTTCTCATTTGGAGTAAGTTTTACTGTGAACCGTACAGTTAACGAAGATGTGAAACACAGCTACATAGTGACTATTGAATCCAATGGAGCAGCTTGTGCACAGAAACAATACTTGCTATTAGATGCTCAGAGGAAGATGAAAAAGTCAAATCTAGGGGCAATCCTTTGAAAGATGAAACCCCTCTCACATAAGTAAAGCATTAATGAAAATGCTGTTCTGTTCTTTCTATTCTTGCTAATTCATTAAACTTTCAATCAGAAAAGTATCCCAATTTCCACAGTGTTTCCTTACCTCATTGTCATTTGGGTCACCTGTATCTACTGCTGCACAGCTAACCGCCCAGAAGCTGGGGCCTCAAACCCCAGGCCCTGGTAAACGGGTGGCAGCCAGGAGGCTCTCATGTGGACGCTCATGTGGTACCATCGGATTGGGACTGGATGACTTCTTTCACAAACTCTTGTTCTTGGGCCAGTCTCTCCCTTCCCCCACTCTCACGGACATTATGTATGGGCTCTGATTTCTCCACACATCAATGACAAGTACTGTCTACTTGTGGACCATCTGATCACACCTGATCATGTTCTTTGTAGATATTTGCTTGAGGAGTTCCTCTGTATGTTAGGAGATGGGTTGACTGCTACAACTGGAACAAAAGTAATGACTTAAAAACAAACAAACCAGAATCAACAAGTGTGCGCAGTCCAAAGACAGTGTGTGTGTGGGGGGGGGGGGGGGGGGGAAAGAGAATGACACCATTGGCTCACAGATTTGGTCACCAGGGAGTGGCACATTTTGAAAGGATTAGGTGATACGGCTTTGTTGGAAAAAATGTGTCACTGCAGGTAGGTTTTGAGAGTTCAAAACATGCCAAACACAGAATCAATCAATCAATCAACCTCTCTCTCGCTCTCTCTCTCTCTCTCTCTCTCTCTCTCTCTCTCTGCCTATAGATCAAGGTGTCGTTGTCAGCTACTGCTCCAGTGTCTTCCTGCTTCCCACCATGATATTAACAGACTAAACCTCTCAACTATAAGGAAGCTCCCAATTGCTTTCTTCGCCTTGCTCATGGTATTCCTTCACAGCCACAGAACACTGGCTAAGACAGAGGGTATAGAGTCGAGGTGTTATAATGGTTAATGCTGGATTAACTGAGGTGAGAAGATCCATCCTGGAGTAGACTGGGGTCCCGCACTTCAAAAAAGAGAAAAAGTGAGCTCCGCCCTGCTTCCTGACTGTAGACGCAATGTGACCTGCCGTCTTGGGATCCAGTCACCATGAATTCCCTTCCTTGATGGCCCATACCCTCAAACTGTGAGCCAAAAGAAATCCTTCCTTCCTTGGACTGCTTTTATCAGGTATTTTTAATCATAGCACTAAGAAAAGTAAGGAATGCAGATGTCATGGGGACCACTTTCCATCTTGTTGTTCCATCATCCCTAGCACATTGCACTCATTCTCGTGATCCAACGTGAGTGACACCCACAGTGAGAAGCAGAACCCACCCTGCTTCCCTTTAAAAACAAAGCCTGGAAGTTTCACATGTCATTTCTACATATATCCATGAGCCACAGCCTGGGACATTATTAGAGAAGGGAGAAGCGGATGCTGGGGCAGGCAGAACTGTATCATCATCCCGGTGCTGGGAGCATCACAGGATGTTTTAACTGTCACGCTGACTCACTTGCTCTGAAAGCTCACGGCGGAGCACAGCTCCCTGATAATTTTCTTTACATGACAGTGCCTCGTGGGTGTGATTCTGGCTGATCTGCCCAGCGCTCACCACTATGCTTGTCACTCACCTGCTTTTCTTCGAGTCCTTTGTTTGCGTGCTCTTGTCGATTTTTAGACTGATCTTTGAGATGTTTTACTTGCACTTTGGTAATTTCTCAGATTTTATACATTCCTTTAAAAAGGTTTATAAAGTCTAAGCAAATAAAATGTCCCCAAAGGCTTAAGATTCTTTATGTAAAATCATAAATATGTAAACATCAATTTTAATACAGTTGAGAAATACCTAACAAAATATTATAGATGTTTAAAGCTGTATTCTAGAAGGTAGAAAAATTCTCAAAAATATGGAATTCATCTAAATAATCACTAACTGAGTGACAGTGTTGACATAACCACACATTTGGCTTTCTGTGCTTCGTGAGTATTTCCATGTTCGGTGACTGGAAGGACTCACTTTAGACTAAACTTTGGAGAAGCATTTAACATGTAAGACCAAAGCTGCAGCTGTCTGATGCACATAAGATGATGTATCCATGAACTACTGCATCCCCTCAGCTGTCCTATTAGCACACTTCTCTACGGTTCCTGAAGGAGCACTCAGACCCCACCCTGATGTCATCCTGGTTCTCAGCCACTTGCTCCACTCCTTTAAGGCCTAGGTTATCTCCCTAGCACAGATGGCCCTGTCCTTGGATGCCCAGCTAAGGCATGTGCCCACAGACCAGCTTACGCTTCATGGTAGGTAGAAGGATATCAACCCGAGAATAGCCCTCTCTCATCCCCAAAAAGATTAGGTTTGAGGTTAGAGTTATAAATCTCACTCAGAGCCTAAAATGCATTTAAATGCACATACACCTCTATTAGGGCTCAGGATAGCGACCTTAAATATGCATGCACCAACATAAGTTATACCCTGCATAAAAGCCATCTCTGGGCACCTTTAGCTCTACAAATACTATCCTTTCAATGAAATATCAGAATTAAAGAGCTGGGGTGTAGCACAGTTCACAGCATGACTTCCTACATGCAAGGCCTAAGTCCAAACATCAGCACTAAAAATCAGAATTTTCTGAATGACTACAAGCAAATTACCAAGATGGATTAATGGGAAGTCACAATTTGGTTTGGGTCAAGTTTTCTCAGCCTACTGAAAACTATTGAAGTGTGAGGCTATCCTCTACATTATAAAATGACAAGCTGCAACTCTCCCCATTAACCACTAGATCAGTGGTTCTCAGCCTGTGGGTCATGACCCCTGTGGGGGTCACATATCTTGATTATCTTGTTTATCATATATTTACCTTATAACAGTAGCAAAACTACAGGTATGAAGTAGTGACAAAATATTATAAGGTTGGGGGGTCACCACAACTTGAGGAACTGTATTAAAGGGTGCAGCATTAGAAAGGTTGAGTAACACTGCACTAGTTTCTAGTAGCAAGTAATACTCCTAATGGCAACCAAAATGTTTCTTGGCGTTTGTACACATGTGGTCTATGTACATGTTCATGTGGTGGTACATGCATGTGCGGATATGGGTGTAATGCATGTGTGAATATGGGTGTACATGCATGTGTGGATATAGGTGTACATGCATGTGTGGATATGGGTGTACATGCATGTGTGGATATGGGTGTACATGCATGTGTGGATATGGGTGTATATGCATGTGTGTGCAAGCGTGTGGAAGCTAGAGATGGATGTCAGGTGTCTTTATCCATTAAGCCATTATCCATTAAGCCATCGACCCCAGCTCTCCTTCCTTCCTTCCTATCTTATCTTATCTTATCTTATCTTATCTATCTATCTATCTATCTATCTATCTATCTATCTAGTTATTTGTTTATAGTTTCTTTAGACAAGACTTCTCTGTAGAACCTTGACTGTCCTGGAACTTGCTCTGTAGACCAGGCTAGCCCCAAACTTAGAGATCCACATGTCTCTGCCTCCCAAGTGCAGAGATTAAAGGTGTGAACCACCAAGCATGGCCTCCACTTTGTTTTTTAGAAGAGTCTCTCACTGAACCCAGGGCTCACCGATTCAGCTATGCTGGTGACCAGTGAGCCCCCGAGACTTGCCTTTGTCTGCGGCCACTACAGCTGGGGTTCACCCAGGCACAAACTCTCGAGTTCTGAGTTAAGTCAACTCTGAAATTCTAGTAACCCAGAAACGAGGACTAACAAATAAAGGAAAGTCAGAGAGCCACATAACTAAGGTGACCCTGACTGAATGATTAAGTAGGATTAAAATCTTCAAATCTCTGTGGTGATAATCTTGTCAACTTAATTGGATTGAGAAAGGCCTAAAGGATTAGTAAGGCACACTTTGGGGGTGTCTGAATGCTGTGTCTTGACTTAATCGGTAAATCATTCCTTGATGAATTTATAATATGATGGAATTATTGGGGAAAGGAAAAGGCAGGAGGTGCCTGACTGGAATAAGCAGGTCACCAGGAGTCATGTCTGCAGAGACTACATCTTGCCCTGGTCCCTTCCTGTGTTCTTTTTCTTTACTCTCTGATGGCCCTAATGTGATCTTCTCTTTCCCATCTTGATTGGGCTGACACCTTTGAAACCGAGTCCAGGTAAGTCCTCCTTTTTCAAGTGTTCTCAGGTATTTTGGCCATTGTAACACAAAAGTAACCACTAGTTTCCAAGTCCTGTGTTCTTTCTACACTCAGTTCCTTCTCTAGAGTTTTCTCCCTGCCTTTGCTGCCTGTGCACATGGCATTCAGATCTCTCCATTGCATTGCCTCCTGAACAGGGTCTGTATATAACAAGTTTGAATCACTGCCTCCAGGTATATATATGTATGTATCTATATCGTTTACATGTATATCTAAAATACAGATCTGATATGTTAGGCTGTGTGTGTGTGTGTGTATTTCAAGGAGCTACAGATGGGGAGCACTGTGAGCTATTCTGAATAGCTACTTATATTTGCTTTATCAACCTTGATTGCAAAAACTGGGGTCCTTCAGGAGTCTACTGAAGAAGCTATTATTCTCAGAGGAATCTGAGCTCCCAAACACTTGCGCTGAAAGCTCACAGTAGAATTGTGTAGCAAGTTCCTCTGAGATGAAACATTCTCTTTTGGAAGGAAGCTTGTTGAGACTTAGGATGTTCTAAAGGGAGGTGAAACAGTCCATCCTGCAGGGCACCTGGTAAAAACTCAGTAGCTTCAGAAGTGTCCCAAATGAACTACTAGGCCCCTCCTTCCCCAAGCTTACATAAGAAGTAAGGACTGCTGGGAGATGCTCTCAGACAAGCAGAGCTGCCTAAAAGAGGCTCGGACTGGCTAAAGCACCTGGAAAAGGCAGAGGCCAGCAGAGCTGCCTGGAAGACATTCTCTGACATATCCAGCTGCCTGCGAGTTGGCTGTAAAGTGTGCTCCAGGGCTCCAACTTTCACAGGCTGTCACCCACCCCGGGTGGGCATTTGGTGGTGTGGCTGTCTTTGAGTCATTTCTCTTCGTGCAAGTTCCCCACCGCACACACTCATGTTCCTGCAAGTAACCCAATAAAACCCATTGTTTCGTCAAGCTGGGCTTTGGTAGCATCTTTACTTTGGTCTGTGTTTGGTCTGGTTTGTTCCCCATCTGTGCTGAGTAAATGCTTGTTCACCTCTATTCCTCTGTCGCAGAACTCCACCCTTAGTTCCAGACAGGTTTTGCTCCTGCTTGGCTTTATCTGTTGTGAGCCCTATGTGAGGTCAGTGGTGGAGAAGGACAAACTGCACAGTCACTGCTAATGCATGATAAAGTATGATGGGGGGGGGGCAGGACACTGTTGACCACAAGGAGGCCTTTAAAGAAGCAGCAGGTGAGAGGACACTGGGATTTGATGTCAGTGTAGGCCACCAACCCTTGACAACACCCTCCCCTTCCTGACACGTTCCCAAGTTCTTTGCCCTTCTCATCCAACTGTGTTCTTTCATTCCTTCCTTACTCTGATGGGAAACCTTCTCCCCAGGAAATAAGGAAATGTTAAAAGAAAATTATCAATAAGAAAATAATCAAGGCTAGTCACGGTAACTCACCCTTTAATCCCAGCACTCAGGGAGGCAGAGGCAAGGATCTGTGAGTCTGAGGCCAGCCTGGTCTACAAAGTGATTTTCAAGGCAATTAAAACTGTTACACAGAGAAATTCTGTCTCAAAAAACCAAAATACATACATACATAAATATTCTTAAGAAAGAAAATGGGAGTAGGAGAAGAAGGATTTAGGAAAAAGGAAGTGGCTAATGGCCTCCAGGTTGAAATGGCAATAGCTTTGAACATCAATTAAGTCAATACAAAATGAAACAAAGAATGACGTCACATCCCAGAGAATAAAAGAATCATCCACCAAATGGCACTTTCCTTAGAGCCAAAGGAAGCTCTTTAGAAAGCTTTTCCTCCCCAGAACTCCAGTGTGGAATTTGAAATGAAAATGTTATTAATATATGCAACATTTATTGAGTTATATACTTATGATTTATGGACTTTATACCTCAATAAAATGCAAATAATATAAGTACTAAAATTAGCATAACTTTTTCTTTAATGTCTTTCTAACACATTGGTTCTCCTAAAAAGAAATAAATAAAATTAGAATATAATGTAGTTGGGAATGGAAGCCCATGCCTTTAATCCCAGTACTCAGGAAGCAGAAGCAGGTAGATCTTTGAGTTCAAGGCCAGACTGGTCTACAGAGAGAGAGTTCCAGGACAGTCAGGGCTATATAGAGAAACAAAACCATGCTTATTTGCCTACCATGCTCTTAACTTACTTAGAGACGGCAACAGCTTTAACTTGTATTTTCCCATCAGGCAGAGTAATAGGTTTTATGTACTTAAATGTATTATTTTCACCAGAACCAACTTTCTTTAGGAAGTCAGGCTTGCTGCCATCCAGGGTGTAATAAATGTTGACATCTGGGGTGTCTGAAAAATCCAGAACAGGATAACCATAATTAACATTGACATAACAAGTCCCTGTGTAATGATTATCTGTTAAAAACAAAGAGACACACACACACCGAGTAAGTGATAATGATCCTGCTGTCTGTGCCAACACAGTGCTTTGCATGAATGAGCTCACTTCATGTATTCGTTCACATTACTGGATGAGGTAGGTCCTACACTGTACCCATTTTATAGATGGCAACTGAGTGCCTGAGCGATTAATAAACTTGCTAAATAACAAAAGATTTCCAGTGTTCACAGTGGCTCACAACTCTGTAACTCCAGTAGCAAGGTATCCAATGCCCTCTTCTGGCCTCGGTAGGTACTAGGCAGGCTTGTGGTACACAGGCATACACGAGGACAAAACACCCATATGCATAAAATAAAAAAATATTCTTAGGAAAGAAAATGGGAGTAGGAAAAAGAAAAAGATTTAGTTAAAAAGAAAATGACTAATGACTTCCAAGTTGAAATGGCAATAGATTTGAACATCCTAATACATGCAAAATTAGTTGAGCCATATGCTTATAATATGTGGTTAAGTTCTGCTGGGCTGAGTACACAGTCCATAATCTTGAACCACTGAGCTCCATCACTCCCCTTTCCTCCTCCCAAAGGTCCCCCCTCCCAACTTTCAAGTCTTTAAAGGAAAAACCTAGATTCTGCACATGAAAAAAAACTACTTGGTATTTTTCTTTCATTCATTTCTTATTTGTTAATTTTGCAGCAATGGGGACTGAACCCAAGACCTTGGTCATATTCACAACTTCTCTGTTGTTAAATCAAACTCTCTTCTTTCATTCCCCCTTCCCTCTCCATATAAATATGTGTGTGTGCATATATATGTGCATACATACATATGCACATATGTATATCTATATATCCAATTATCTCTATTTCAATCTCTCCAAAGGTAGCACAGGTTGGCCTCAAATTCACTGTTCTCCTATCTTGGCCTCCCCAGTGTTGACATAAAGGCATTTACATTGGGTTATTATTCTCTTTAGTATTTAACAGTGGGATATTTTTATTTATTTGACATCTAAACATTAGAGAATATAGAACCACCATCTATATTATCACATTATGTAAAACCATTGAACATGTTAGCCTTTCAGATAAAAGAGGTTAGAGTATAATATGAATCTTATTCTTGGAAATCTTGGACTAGGGAGCCTGGAGGCAGCTCTACAAATGCAGATAAATACTTTATATACATTTAAACTATCAAAATTAAATAGATATATATGTAATTAAAATTTAAAAGCTTTTTAACACAAATATTTGTTCATATGTCTTAGCTATAAAATTTCTTTACATAGATTATTTATATGCATATAAACAGGTTTAATATTAAATACTACTTAATATTAAATACTACTACGAATACCTTGTTTTTGCAATAGTTAAGATTTATTTATTTATTTATTTTTGTTTTCTCGAGACAGGGTTTCTCTGTGTAGCCTTGGCTGTTCTAGAACTCACTCTGTAAATCAGGCTGGACTCAAACTCAGAGATTCACCTGCATTCCGAGTGCTTGGATTAAAGGAATGCACTGCCACCACCACCACTGGGATAAGGTTTATTTTATTATAAGATAAATCTTGTGTACTTCACATATACCAACTCAATATGCCAACGAATATAGACCCATATACAGCAACTCACTTAACCCTCACAGTGGCTCCAGGTGGTAGATAATAGAAAACATACAAAGATATAAATCAGCAACACATGAATACAGGGCATGACAATGCTATTTTAAGTAATTCAAAATGCACAGGATTCCTACCAGATTTCATTTCCAAAAGAGTATTGGTATCAATCTCATGGTTGGCTTTTCCAGGCTGGGGCACTCGCAGTGGTATGATCTGAGGGGCACACACTGAGCCAGCAGTCATGTTTTCTCCTTATGTAAAGAAATTAAATTAAGAATTCCGTCATGAATCTGTATCTGAACACAAAGACTACAGAGTACCATTTTCTTAAATGCAGCAAGCCAGTAAAACCTGCCGAGAACATCATTAATGCGCCACCTACTGGTAATGCCCATTTAGTAAATGAAATGATTATTGCATCTCAGCTGCAGATCTGCTGTCGGGTCGTCACGTACATGCTTTCCCTCTCGGAAAGGCACACAGATGAATCCGACAGGAGACAGGAGCTGCGTGGAATGGGCAGGTTAACTGAACGAGGCAGAACAGAATCCACGCTAATATTGTGACCTCGGTTCCTTCCAGATCATCCACTCTTCACTGCCTTCGGTTAGTGCAAACATACACACTCATTCTCCTGACTTCAAGGCAACTCATTACATAAAGGGAACAAGGAACTTTGCATGTAGCATGAATTATTTATTTAGAGTCAACTTTTAAAGGGAGTTCTAAGCCCACGGTCTTTCCTTTGCCGTTGCAGTATATTGCGTATCTGAAAACTGCAAAGGCTGCAGAGCATGAATTCTCAATAGAAAGGAAGTTGACATGGATATAAATCAACAAACACAAGATTCCTATTCGCTCTATTCCTATTCTGTTTCGTAAACAACCACCACCACAGGAGCCTTATGCGTCTTTTCTTTGAGGTGGGGAGAAGCCATCTTGGCACAGCATTTGCACCTTGCATTGCTGTTTCAATTACGGCTACGTGATTATTCAATTATAATGTTCATATCCATCCTACTATTATAGACAACATTTTCACCCTCATTCTTATTTACAATCTTTCATGCAACAGTTTGTTGTTCGATGGTGAGGCTAATTTTTTTTTAATTTTGGTAATTGGAATTCTGATAATGTTTCTCGGAACATCTCTGCGTTTTGACATACCTTGTTCTGAAAAGTGGAATAATTAGATTTAAAAGATCAATTTCCAGTTTGTGGACTAATAATAATAATAATATTTAAAAAAACACCACAGATACGTCATCGTTCAGAAATGAGGCTGGACGTAGAGGGATCTGCCTATATTCGCATTTTCTTTCAAGAAAGAATCAGTTAAAATAAAAACAGCCGAAAACTAGATTCTAAATAAACGCAGTTGGATAGAGACTAATTTGCTCACGGTTAGTATTAGCTGCCCTTGGAAGGTTGCGGTGGTCCTCACGCGAAGGAGATAGAGAAGGCTGATTCGCTAGGTCCAAACCGCAGCCTGCTGTCAGTGTCATGCCTCCAGCATCTCTCAACATCCTTCACCTAGACCATCGCCTCGCTGCCCACACCAGGACCCGCCGCGTCAAGCCCTCGGCCTCGCGAAGCAGAGATGCCTGGATCCCTCCCAACCGAGTATGCGGCCCTCCTCCTTACCCTCCTCCAGCCTCACGGACGAGATGAGGACCCCCAATGCACCTTAGCCGAAGCCAACCGGGTGTCTAGGCTCTTGCGCTGCACGACTGCTTCTCTGCTGCAGCTTGGGTTACCACCGACGCTGCAGGTCGCGCCCCGCCCACCGCGAGTCGAGCAGATGATTGGCAGGGAAAACGATTTCCTAGCAACTAGCCTCGCCCCTGTCTCCGGGCCAAGGAGTCTGTCTGGAACCCGCCCCCAGCTCCGTGGGCGAGGCTTTGCTGTAGGCATCCAATAATATGCCTTCTCGGCGGCTGGAAGGGCCTGAGAGAGTGCACCCCTATTGAGCGTACGGGGGCCCGAGCCTTTAATCGGACAGACACTAAAATTTGGGAATAACAGAAAGAGAGCCTGTGGCGACACCGCTGAGCAGAACGGAGCAGGCAAACCTCGGACGCCCCAAGCCGACCCGACGAAGAAGGCCCGGCGCGACCGGACGAAAAAGGCCCCTCGCCCGCCCGGCGCGCGCCTCCTCCCGTACTCGGGGCTCTCAGCGCGCTTCCCGGGGCGACTTTTCCTCTAGTCTGGAAAACCGCCCTTATGGCTGAGGTGAAGGTGAAGGTGCAACCGCCGGACGCGGATCCGGTGGAAATAGAAAACAGGTAATGCAGTGCAGCCGGACCCCTTCTCTCGCAGTCCCAGGGAGTGGCCGGAGCAGGCTGTGTGAGCACGCGGGATTGCGGGGTTCTACTCCTCCCTCCCCCCTCCCCCGACTAGGGAGAGCAGAAGAGCAGCGTGACAGCTTGGAACTTTATGTAACTGGCATCGCCAGGATTCTGTTATAGTAGTGAGGACACTCCTGGAACCTGGACGTTGGCCTGAATGCCTGAAAAGAGACCCGCGTTTGCCCCTGGGGCATGTTCGAATTCCTGTTCGATTTCAAGATTGCTCGGTGGCCAAGGGAAATTACATAGGAGAACGTTCGGGCAAAATCAGGGTTCAGTTTATGATCACAAAGTATCATTGAGTCAAGTAGATTCAGCGAGTGCCTTAAAGCTAATACTCCTCATTAGCGCACAAATAGTTTTAGGTTATAACGTAGGTAAAAGACAGCAACTTTCTCAACAGTTATGGGTAATGAGTTTATTACTACTAAGGCGATATTCGAAATTGTTTGGAAGGGATAATTTTGCAGACAGACTCCAGTTACGGCAAATCACCATATCCATCCCCATCTCTGCATTCCACACTTGCCCAATGATAGCATTGAGTTTCAGCTTTAATATCTAGCTATACTGTATTTCCTTCTTTTGCCCTACGAAAAAAGCTAACATAAATCATTAATACCTTTATTTCTAGAATTATAGAATTGTGCCACCAGTTCCCTCATGGAATCACAGATCAAGTAATTCAAAATGAAATGCCTCACATAGAGGCCCAACAGCGGGCAGTGGCCATCAACAGACTGTTGTCTATGGTAAGGTGAATTCAACGAATTTGTGTAATTTGTTGGCTATTATGGTTTTCATTGGTTCCTGTCACATAATTGTAATGGTTAACTTTATGTGCCAATTGGCAGGGACGTGAGATTCTTAGATAACTTGCTATAGGTTGTTTCTGGGATGTTTGGGAATATGGAAGTATTTGAATCGCTGAACTGAGTAGAAGGTGAGTGGGCACCGTCCAATCTAGCGTCAGCCTAAGCAGAACAAATAAAAGGAGGACAGAGGAATTTACTCCAGACCTGCTTTGATTTCCAGTACCAGTCTTCTGTCTTTAGCACTCTGTTCTTAGGCCCTCAGAGTCCATCCACAGCCCTTGACTGTCCATCTCTAACGCTAGTGTATCACCTCTAGACCGCTGATCTGTGCAACTGGCCTTTTTGAGTCTCCAGCTCGCAGGAGGTAGATTACAACCGTTCCTGCTCACCGTAATCACATGAACTAATAATAGCACGATAAGCCTCTTTTTCGTGAACCAGTACGCTAATTGTCAAGCCAAAAACTGACTTGATTCCAAACCAGGGAAAAGGTTAGGCTGTCTGAATGGAAAGACAAAAGAAAGAGAACGTAATTATTTGCCATTTGGCAAGGTGAAGGAACTACGTGCAATTCTGTTATAACTAATTATATTAGCTTAATTGACACAAGGCACACATGGGTGTAATCTGTTCTCACCTTCTTTTGCTTTCTGCTGCTAGCGCTTAGCCATTCCCTATAAAATATTTCCACTATGATTTTTCTGTGAGTTATCACATAGCCTATTCACTGGGTATCACAGTGTCACTCTGAGCTTTTCAAGAGCAGGAAGAAGTACTGAGACAGGGCAGTGGAATTTTCAGTGAAGCCCAAGAACCTGGAGCCCTCATGTCTCTCCTCCAACTTTTGAAAAACACTCCACCAAGTACTGCCCCATGCTTGAAATCTTTTCCCGAGGGCCTCTCCGTTTTATTAGTCGTTCGTTAAGAACCCTGCTATGACTTGTTTGCTTTTTAAAACTTCCAGCCTTATCTTCTGTCTGGCTCTAGACAGCGAGATTTTAGGGATGGGTGAACCTTTTGTTAAACTTTAGTCTTCACCTTTTGGGATGAGAATTTGGCAGACTTTCTCTGTGAACTGGTAAATAAAATATCCTTTGTGATTCATCTGGTTTCTCTCACGACTGTATCGCGTGCCATTTTAACAAGAAGCAGCCATGAGTCATGAACGGTGATATGTAAACGGTGGGCATGGCTTCTTTCTGATGGAATTTTATTAGTTAAAAAAAAACAAAAACACAAACAAGCAGTGGCCTAGTGACTTCTGTTTTCACCCAAAGAAAAAAAAGTGTTGGGGATTTCTGGGCTTCCTTTTTCTGTGTAGAATGACTCCTTGTCCTTTAGGGCTCAGCTTTCCTGCTTTCTCCAGGATCCCCAGTTGGGCCACCGTCCTTTCTCTGAGTATGCATCCACCTTGTTTCTCTCCTGATGCTAACCAGATAGTATCAACATCATCTGTGTGCTTCCTTTTTAGAATTTGTTTTGGCCTGGGAGTGTAGCTCAGTGGTAGAACACTCACCTAGCTTGCATGATGCCCTTTATTCTGTCCTCTATCAGCAAACTGCCCCCTTAAGCAGCTGTCTTGATATTGGTACAATACAGGTGTTTAGTAAATGAAAGTGACTAGAATAGGCTGAATAAGTGACAGAAGGGAACTTCTGAATGAGTTTTGTGATCCCACTTTGCCATTTCGTGAATTGGGGAAGGAGGTAGGGTGTTGCAGTTTGTCCAGTATGTAAACATGTTTTACAGTCTAACGCACAGTAGGGCTCCCTCTTGGCTATATTTTCCTATAACTGCTGCGAGCCCAGTGATACACACATCTGGATTCTCTTAATGCTGGACCCAGGAGTTTCTAAAACATGGTAGAATACACTTTAATCTTTCTTTGCTTCATTATATAAAATACCAACACTGAAGACCTTTTGTTCATTGGTTCATCTTTTTGCCCCTTCTCCTATCACAGAATTAATATTGTACATTTGAGTAAATAGTTTAGTCTGTATGATAAACACATTTAAAACTCTGTTGACACTTAACCATTGGAATTGATGTATTTCCAAAGTAATTGACGACAATTTTCTATTTTAAAACACTTTAGGGTCAGTTGGATCTTTTAAGGAGTAATACAGGCCTTTTATATAGAATAAAGGATTCTCAGAATGCTGGGTAAGTAAGCACCTGGTTTTTAATTTTAAGAAAATTTTGATTACTGTAAAAGTAATGTATGTATTAGAAAAAAGCTAACATAGTAACAGGTATTGTGGCATAAACCCACATCTCAGAACTTGGGAAGTAGGGCTGAAAGTTTAGTGCCATCCTTAGCTACACAGATTAATGATATTAGTGCATGTGAGTATCGTGTGTCTGTCTATACATAATGTAGCTAAGTGTGGTGCTGCACACCTATAATCCTGACACTTGGGGGATAGAGCCAGAAGGATCATGAGGTGGAAGATAGTTCAGGCTGTACATCAAAAGACCTGTCTCAAAATCAGAAAACAAAACAAACGGATGGAAACTCATACCATCCCTCCTTTCTGTCCTGTGTTCTGTTTCCCAGAGTAACTGTTCCTGGTAATTTCTCCTAGATACACTGAAATATTCATAGGTGATTATATATTTATATATTTTTCTTTTCTAACTTTTTAAAGAATTTTTTATTATTTATTTTAACTTTTATTTTATGTGCATTGGTGTGAAGGTGTCAGATCCCCTGAAACTTGATTTACAGACAATTGTGAGCTGCCATGTGGGTGCTGGGACTTGAACCCGGGTCCTCTGGAAGAGCATTCAGGGCCTTAACCACCAAGCCAACTCTCTCTCTAGCCCCTATTCTTTTCTTTTTTTAAAAAAAAAAAAAAACTGGGTCATGCTTTCTATACTGTTCTGTAACTTGTTGGTTTTTTTTTCCACTTACTGTACTTTGGATATTTTTGTTTTTGGTACACACAGCTGTCTCATTCTTTTTGAGGTAAGCCCTTTTGCAAAAAGTCAGTGTGATAGCCTGTCTGCCAATTAACTTAAATAGTTATGCAGATGATAGCACAGCCCACATTTTTTTTCCTTTTTTAATTCTGTTTTATTCCCTGCAGTAAAATGAAGGGGTCCGATAACCAAGAAAAACTAGTCTACCAAATCATAGAGGATGCAGGTAATAAAGGTGAGCACGTGAGGGATGACTCATTGTCTTTAGGTCTAGACCTAAAGTGTCTTCCTTATTCTGTTTATTTTTAAAGAGAGGATCCCACTGTGTAGAGCAGGCTTTCTATTATCTTCTTTCCTCATCTTTCTGAGTGGTGGGACTGCAGGCATGCCCTGTCACATGGAGCTAAGCACATGTTTTGTATATATGCTCTTTATGTACAGCTTTCTTTCTTTGATAGAAAACTCATGACTTCCCACAATGGGTACTTAATGAGAGTAAGAACCACAGCCTTATTTTTTTCTGTCTTACAAATGGAATGTTGTTTAAATAATAAAAGTATGTGCATTGAAACTTCTAAACTAATGTTTTGTTTTGTTTTTTGGTTGGTTGAAGATGGCAAGCTGACCCTAACCTAAATTTAAGTTGTTTCACTTTTACAGTGAAACTCTTAGAAAATTGCGATTAGGTAAACAATTGGATGAGAGATTGGATTTAAGTTAATTACAGCATTGATGCTTTTTCCATTACAAAAATGTTCTTGTTATATATTTTTAGAAGATGCCCCACTAGGTGATGAGGCACCCTTTATCCTAATACTCTGGAGGCAGAGGCAGGTGGATCTCAGAGTTCATGATCGCCTTGATCTGTGCAGCAAGTTCCATGCCAGCCAGGGCTGCATGGTGAAGCCCTGTCAAAAACCAAAAAACACACTGACGTGCCAAGCAGTTTCCAGTTAGAATATAAACATACACCTAGTTACTGACTCTTGTACTTTTGTTTCTTTATCTAATTTTTTTTTTTTTACAAAACTTATAAAATTTTGTGCTAAAGGATGTGCTGTCAGCGTTCCTACTTTCTTACAGGAATATGGAGCAGAGATATCCGATATAAAAGTAATTTGCCATTAACAGAAATCAACAAAATTCTCAAGAATCTGGAAAGTAAAAAACTTATCAAAGCTGTGAAGTCTGTAGCAGTGAGTAGTTGGCTTTCTGGGTTTCCTCCCTATATTCACTTAAGTAAGCTGTTCCAGCTGGGTTTTCACCCTTTGTTCTTTAATTCAGGTGGGATTTAACTCTTGTTGTACTGACTTGAAGCTGCAGCCTACTGCACTGTCTTGCCTCTGCCAAACTTTTTTACCGAACTTGTACTGTATTCTGCAGTAAGAAAGTCTGGAGCCTTGAGTATGCCTCCTAATTTTCATGCTGTGTGAGATAGCTCAGCTGTCCTAGCACACCGTCTTACTCAGCAAGTGTCTGTTGATTTTAGGCGATGGCAGGTACACATAAGTAACAGTCAGTAGAGAAAGATCTCTGTCCTGTGTCTCCATACCATGTTTGTGGTTTGTTTTTCCTTTCCTTTTCTTCCCCTTCTCTCTCCTCCCCCCACCTTGTCTCTCTATCTTGAATATTCAGCAATAAAAAGATGACCTATCATGAAGACATGGAGTGACCTTAATGCCTATTGCTTGGTGTAAGAAGGCATGCTGACAAGGTAGCACACTAGGTGTTGCCAACTCGGTGACATTGTGGGAAAGTAGAATGTTAAGACAGTAAAAAGACAAATATTTGCCAGTCTTGGGATTAGGGTCCTAGGCAGAATTGAGTAGATACAGCACAGAAAATGTTTGGTGGCAGTTAAACTATTCTATATAACAAGATGGTATCTATAGACACAGCACAGAGTAATCTTAATTGGACTGTTTTATTTTATTTTGAAAGAGAAGTCTAGTAATATAACCAGGACTGATCTTGAATGTCTTGAATGCAGAAATGCAGAATCTTTTCTGCCTTAGCCACCTGAGTGCTGGGATTTACATGTGTATGCCATCATGCCCAGCTATCTGTATCATTTTATAACTTTTTAAAAGCTGCTTAGAAATGAGGAGGATGCCAGAGTGGGATGTGGAATGTATAACTAGAAACCAGGGGTTTAGGTATGACTGAGCAATTACAAACATGGCTGCTCTTCCAGAGGAAGAGCATGGTGACTCAGCCATCTGCAACTCCATTCTAGGGAAATCTGACACCCTCTTCTAGCCTTTGTGGGTAACAGGCATAAACATACACAAATACCCACACACATTAAGTAAATGATTTTTTTTTTAATTTAAAAAATAAGCTGGGCGATGGTGGCGCACGCCTTTAATCCCAGCACTTGGGAGGCAGAGGCAAGTGGATCTCTGTGAGTTCGAGATCAGCCTGGTCTACAGAGCTAGTTCCAGGACAGGCTCCAAAGCCACAGTGAAACCCTGTCTCGAAAAAACAAAAAATAATAAATAAATAAATAAATAAATAAATAAATAAATAAATAA